AAGAGATATATTTGGGACCTCATAGAGGAGTTCAAAAGTGAAATATTTAGCCAAGTAAAGCAAGATATAAGAAGATTAATAAAAGAGATACTAAGCACCCCTCAAGCAGACACAGACAGAAGAAGGGAGGAACTCAACAAAGGAGAGAACCATTTGATGAAGAATATAAATAAAATATAGAATACATGAAGCAGATTCAAAGAGATTACCAGGAAATTAAAAACTCTATGGAAAGATGGCAAATCTGCTTGAAAGAAACTAAGGATAGATTATCCAAATTGGAGGACAGTTTTGCAATGTGGGATTATGAAAGAGAAAAATTTTTTAAAGTAACAAGGAAACAAGCAGTAATAATACAAAGGATTTCTAGAGGATGTTGTCTAGAGACAAGAAGAGGATCTATAACTTAAGAATAAAGAATGTGAATGAAGAAGCAGGGGTATAAACAAAGGAACTACAAAGGCTATTCACAGAAGTAATTAAGGAAAATTTCCCAAACCTAGGAAAAGGAAATGATATTTTGATATATGAGGCATACAGAACTCCAGCCACCTACAACCAAAACAGAGCTACACTCAGCCATATAATGATCAAGATCCCAGAAATTCAATATAAGAACAGAATATTAAAAGCTGTTAGAGACAAGAAACAGATAACCTATAGAAGGCCCATCAGAACAACGGCAGACCTCTCCACACAAACCATCAAGTCAAGAAAAGACTTGAGGGAAATATTCCAAGCCCTGAAAGAAAATAACCTCCATCCCAGATTGATACACCCTGCTAAACTGTCTCTAGAAATTAATGGAGAAACAAGATGCTTCCAAGACAAAGAGGAACTTGGGAAATTCACAACCAACTCTACAGAGAATACTGCAGGGTATTCTAGAGAGAGAGAAAAGTACTAGGATTCCAGGAACAGTGGCAGAGAGGCCTCAATGAATGGAGCAAAAAACAGAATGAAGAAGATAAACAGACAACTGATAGCAAAAAAAGAGAATAACAGATATGAGGCAGAGAAGATTTTATTCAAAACTGATATGATTGATAGTATCAAGTCTGAGAGTATAGGCAACTACACTGAAAATGACAAGACTCTATGATACACATTCTGGTTTGATAACTGCCAGTTTTTGAAGTTCTATACTATATACAAATTTGTGTTTTTATTAATACGGTTATGTATTATATATTCAATTATACTATGTCTGATGATATAGCCAATTCTATTGGAGATAACAAGAGACAACACAGGAACCATGGTAGAACTCTTTGTGCAATACTCTTATATGTTTTTTTCATCTCATGTGTTTATAGGAATATGTTTTGTTTTGTCTTGCTTTGTTTGTTTCTCCCTCTAATATAGAAAGGATAGAAATACATGTTAAGACTCATATATGTGTAGAATCTATAAACAGTTCATGAGAACTGATCTTATGACACATGATGAAATGAACACATACTTTGAAGAAAAAGAGACACTCAAATACCCAGTGCTGATCCTGGAGTGTCATAATGTGAAACCCAGCAATAGTATTATTCTTTGTTCAGAGTGATATTAGCCTGCTTGGGTTTATTCAATCTCAACATAATTGAAGATATGTATAACTGCATTATTGTTTAAGTGTATAGGATTGATAACCATATTTATAAGTTTTTGTTGGATAGTTGAACAGAACTGGTTGCAATCTGTTTGAATTCCCACTTTATATGCTCCACTTTAGTATCTTGAATAACTATTTGTAAGAAGACAAGTTTTAATCATCAGCTAGTGATTTCTGTTTTTGTTTGAAAGTATGTATTATTTCTACCTGTTTTCTGTTTTGTTTAGTCTTTCTTTAAATTTTTTAAAAAAAGATACTATAGTACCCAGTGCTGATCATGGAGTGTCATGATGTGAAATCCAGCAATACTATTATTCTTTGTTCAGAATGATTTCAACCTGCTTTAGTTTGTTTAATCTACACATAAGTGAAGATATGGATAACTGCGTGTATGTTTAAGTGTATAGGATTGACAACCATGTTACTAAGTTTTTGTTGGATAGTTGAACAGAACTGCTTGCAGTCTCATTTGAATTCCCACTTTATATGTTCCATTTTTGTGTCTTGAACAACTGTTTGTAAAACAACAATATGTAAGCATCAACTAGTGGTTTCTTACTGTTCATTTTTTCTCTGAATGTATGCATTATTTCTACCTATTTTCTGTTTTGTTTAGTCTTTCTTTAAATAAAATTTTTAAAAACTGAAAAAAATTAAGAGATAATCAGCTAATTAGGAGAAAGGGTTTATTTTGGCTCATGGTTTTGTAGGTTCCAGTCCATGATGGCTTGGCTCCATCGTTTTAGGGTAGCAAGGAGGAACCTTTCAGAGACTAAGTACCAAACTGCAGCCCAAAACCCATTTATTTATCACAAAATGTCAACACTGCAATTAAACATGACTACCGAAGCTTCATTTTAGAAAAAACAACTCATACATTAACATCTTTTGCCTTAAAAGAAAAAAACACACTAACATTCATGCCAGAGATTGACCACCAAAGCTTTAGGGCTATAGCAAGCTAGCAAACAATGGAGGAAGTGTGACAGAGCCAAAGCACCCACCTAATGGCTGGGAAGTTAAAAAAAGAGAGGAAGCAGTTGGGGTCTACATAGACCCCAAATCCTGAAGACCTCCCACCAGGTCTGACTGCCAAAGATTCGTCTACCTCCTAATAACAAGCTGCAGAGCATTACTTCAATATGCAGGCTTTTACTAACATTTCATATCCAAATTATAGCAGGGAGCCAATGCCACTGCAGACTCTCTTATCAAGCATGTCTGAGGCATTATTCTAGAATATATAACTGGGATTTGAGGAATGTATTGCTGAGAAAACACTGGCCAGTCTAGGGAAGGATTTTAAGACAAGAACACTCTTTGGTTTGCCACTTGCCAAAGATAAGGGAGGGATCACCCAGTATGGCAGCCCAGGCTGGCCTCTAAATTCACAGCAATCCTCCTATTGCAGCCTCCCAAATGCTGGGATTCAGGAGCACACCATCACACCTAGCATCAATAAATTCAGTTTAAAATATTTATAGAAGCTTTTCTTTTTCTGACATATACATTTTATGGGGGAGATTTTGTATATGTCAAGAGTAAACTCAGGGGAAAAAATAGTCCAGGTTAAAGAGTGTATTTCTTCGCATTTTATCATTTCTAATTTTATTGTACTATGGTCAGAGTATACTATTATTGAGACTTGCTTTTTGACCAATACAGTTCGTTTCCCTCCCTCACTCCTTTCTGTCTCTTTCCACTAGTGCTAGGGACTGAACTCATACCCCCAGCCCCGGTGAAGTGGCATTTTCCCCTGTGGTTCTAGGGAGGAATCCACAGGCAAATGCTCTACCATGGAGCTATAGCTTTGTTTAATCCTTTATGGGCATTAGAAAATCAGTTACCTTCTCGGGGTTCTAGCTGTGAATGTTGCATGGATAAGTCTTCCTTTCTCTCAGCACAGGTAGATAGATGGATATGACAGCATCATTGTTGACCTCAGAACACAGTGTGAAGAGTTCAGGCTCTGATGTTGAGGAACCCTGGATCCAGCACTTGCTGAGTTAACTTGAGCACATTACTGACACCTCCAAGGCCAGAAAAAGTGAGTCCCTAGTCCTAGAAAGATTTTGATCTTTGTACACATTTCTTTTTGTTTGTCTCTTTTCTTTAGCACTGAGAGTTAAACCCAAAGTTTTTACACAGAGCTATACACCTAGCCCACCACCTTTTTTGCTTTTTGAAACAGGATCTGGCTGAACTGCTAAATTTCCCAGGCTGGGCTCTAACCTGTGATCCCAGTGCCTCTGCCTTACCGAGTGCTAGGATGACAGGCATGCACCACCACGCCTGGCTTCTTTCTAATTCTTAATGGAGCCCAAATGTAGTTAGTGTACAGAACTTATCACAGCTTCCTGTCCTCCTGACCCCCTACCTGCCTGGCTCCTACAATCTCACACCCTCCTGCAACAGCATGCCTGTCTGACCCCGCTCTCCAGTCCTCCAGCCTTGACTCACTCCTGCGTGCAGCTCCTACCCAGAGCCCTGGGCAGGCATCTCTCCCACTGAGCAGATGTCCCAGCTTGAGCTCCAGTGCTGCAAAGCCCATCTCTGTGCTTCCCTGCCACTTTTCTCCTTTGAGAATAGAGGAAGTAGCAGCAATGACAAGGACTGTAACACCCTCCAGGTTTACAAATCTTACCACAGCTACTTAAAAGTCTCATCACCCATTTCATGGGTGAATGCACAAGGCCCACACCTTTAGAATGCACACGGGCCACATAAATTATCCAATTACCACAGTGACTGGCTCACTCAGACAAGGTGAATTACAGGTCACAGGTCTCAGTGAACTTGTCCCAATTCGGCTCCCTTTCCACTATTTTATCCTGAACTTCTTGGGAATTTCCTAAATAGATCATTCGGGTTACTTTCATTTTTCCCCAAGAATCCTAGTTTGACTTGGGGAATATTTTTTACAGAATTCTGCCTGCTATCCCTGCCTTCATCCCCAGCTAGCCACCTTTCTGGTCATTTTATGAGGATCAGATTCAGAGTAGGCCTCTGTCTAGAATTCTGCAAAAGAATTCAGGTATTGCAGGAGAGCAGAATCTCTTCCTACCGCCAGGACTGGAAAGAGGTGACTAAAGAAAAAAAATCACCACAAAGAAAATGCCTGAGACATATGAAAACCTACACTGAGAACAAACATCTCTTCCATGCGTTACCATCAAAAAAGGCATTTTTCCCTTCAATAAAACTTCAAGGCTTCCATCTAACCTCGAGGTGGGTCCTTGTCTGATCCTGGAAATGGATTTGAACTTGAACCTTTCCAAGCTTTTAGATCAATCCAGTAGCAGGAGCCAGGGTGGCTGGGGTGCCTTGCAATGGGAGGAGCTCTGGGCCCAGCCCTGGAGGCCTCAGAGCTCAGGGGCCCACTCAGATTGTGCCAGAGAGCAAGACAGGGGAACTGGGGTTTGTGAGCACTGTGGCTTCTGTTTCCTGTTTCAGCAAGGTTGCTGTGCAAAATAAAGGCCGCACCAAGAAGGGAAACACTGAGGGGCCCACACCTCGGCCTGAGAACCCGCACTTTGCCCGGCTGCTGTAGTGCTCCTCCGAGACCAGAGCTGCAACCTGCCGCTGCTCGACTGAAGCGCTCTGTAGTCCAGCCTGGGACCTGGAGGTAACTGAGAAGGATGCTTCTGTGCCCAGATGAGGGACCTCCAACTCAGAGTGGGGCAGAAGGTGCTTGGCCAGCCCAGCATCCCTGTATAAAGAGGGAGATATAGGAGCAGGGTGGTTTAAGAGGATTAGAACGTGGAGTAACTAAGAGAGGGCCCTATATTGAAGTCCTGAGGTCTTCAGGCCCAGGATACAGCTTCTCTGCTCCATGCATTACATTAGATTAGAAGTGTGTCATACGACCTGGGCTTTAGAATATTTAGTGACCCAGGTGATAATTGTTTTGTTTTTTTTTTTTAAACTTGTTGTTTTGTTTTGGACAGGGTTTCTCTATGAAACTCAGCCTGCCCTTGAATTCACTGTGTACTCCAGGCTGGTCACCTCTTGCCTCGGGCTCCTGAGTACTGCTATTATAGGTGAGCACAACCAGCCAGGGGTGTGGATTAAAATGACCTCTTACAGTTCCCTTCAATGTGGGGATTCCTATCACATGAAGTTGCCTTTCTGGCAGCCAAGGACAGATAAGCTTTCCCTGAGTCCACACTGAGATCTAGATGAGAAAGATGGGATCCATGCAGGAGGCCATGCATTGTCTGTGTGGCCAGGAAGTGAGAGCAGAGATGTGGAAAGTCCGAAGATGGGTAGCACCCTATTCTCTCCTTGTGGCAGCAAGGGGGGGCCTCCCCTGGCCAGTACTGACTGTTTCCTCTGACCTTCAATTAGGCCAGTCATGCTACCAAGGAGTAACACAGAGATGCCAGAAAGCCTGGCCAGTGGCCAGGGACCTTTCCCTGAATCTACAAGGACCAGTTCCTTCTCCTACAGCACATCCCTGTCCGGCAGGTATCACATATGACCTCTTACTCTGAAGCAAGTCAGAATGGTCAAGACATCTCAGAAAGCTGGGTATGGTTGCACTCAGTTGGGTCACACCAAACTCTACGAGGCCTGGGGGTCTAGGAACACGCCTGTTTCAGGCCAGTGTCTGGCCCTGAAGTCACAGACAGCAGAGTATCCTTGTCGCAATAGACTTGCAGCCTAGGGCAAGAGTCCACAGACCTGATTTCAGGCCTGTTTCCTACCTGCAGGCCTTTCTTCCTCACAGTCAGAAGGCGGGGTGCTTCTCACTGTGGGGATGTGCATAAGGCCTGTGGCTAGTGTGAGGCCAAGCAGGGGGTGACGTCACACTCTACATTTTAATCGTATGTAGGCAGGCCACCTTCCCCTCTTCTGGAACTTTCTGCTTGGCCTCTTTGAGATGGTAATTATATCTAGACCACGGAGCAGTTCTTTCTCCTTGTGGCCAAAATCAGAGGTGAGAGGAACCAGAGTCATAAAAATGATTTTTGTCTCCTCTTCTCCATCTGGAAAACAATGTAATCCTTTGACAAGAAAGAGGTTCAGAGGAAGAGATCAGACATTCTTGTTCCTAAAAGTGCTACTTTAGCTCAGGGCCTTCAACTTACAACACCAAGTCTTTAGTATCCAACACCGGCATAGAGTTAATATTTTAGGCCTATTATTATAAAAAGCAACACTTAAGAGTGTCATGTGCTAGCTACATGGTAGATGTTTGTCACTGACTCTCACAATTTTTCCAGGCAAGTGTTAGCCCCATTTTATAAATGAGAAGGCAACCTTAGAGATGTAATCACTTGTTCAAACACACACAGGTAGGCAGTGATGGAGCCAGGATGAATCCAGAGTCCTGCTCCAGAGCAAGGGCTCTCCTCCACCATTTATGTGGTAGAAGATGGAGGAATGATGGCTTATGAGGTGTCACAAATATAGGCTCTGGACTTGGGAGTTTACATGCACTTAAATCTCAAGTCTTCTCCATTTGATTGTTTATAGCTTGACAAGAGTAAGCCCCTTAGAGCCTTTTCTAAGTTTTAAATAAGGAAAGTGAAAGATGCAAAGTCTAGAGATCCTATCCCAGGAATAGGAGAGAGAATAATTCAGAGATGGGGCACAGAGGACAGACACTGACAACTTCACATCCTTCACCAGGTCAGCACTCCCAGAGCCCAGAGCAGCATCTCTAACACTACAGATCAGGCAGTTGACAGTGGCCAGAGTTCGGCTGTATCAGACTTCTCCCACATAGTGAGACTGTCCCACTCAGGCCCCTGAGAATGAGTGGTATGACCAGAGAAAGCAAGAATCCTCTACAGAATTCCAGACTGAACCAGAGAAGGCAGCAAGGTCCTGGAAAAAGGCAGAGAGGCCACTACCTGTTGAGTCTGTTTGGCCTATAAATAAATCAGAGGGGCTGGAGCTGGCAAACGCCTGAGGCCAGTGAAGCCCCGGAGATACCCTCCTCTGACCTGCCTAGGAACCAAGTCCCGGGGCAGTGCGATGAGGTCATGGGTCAGAGCAGAGGGAGCAGCTGTGAGGGGGAGTGCTTCTTCCTTCACCGGTCCTGTCTGACTCCAGTGGGCAGAGAGTACAGAACTCCTGATGTTCAGGATCCGGCTCTGTGGAGTCCACCCCAATTCACCAAAGCTACCAGAGCACTTAGGAGAATTACCAAATCTCCAGAAGGTAGGTGGGGAGAGTAGGGAAGAGGAAAAGGCACAGAGAAGAAAGGAAGATGAGGTTAGGGCTTGGGTGCTACGTGGACAGCAGGTACAGCTACGCACAGGGACATCGAGGCCAGCTTCTCCGCCATTCCTCACTCCTGGGAACTTGTGCTTACTGCTTCTGTTTATTTGTTTTGTTTCTTTGTTGTTTGTGAGAGTTTTACCGAGCTGTAATTCATGTGCTTATTAGTTTAGATGTCATAATCCGTGTCTGACTAAGGAAAGCAAGCTTGACACCAGGCAGCCCTGAGAGGGAGGTGATCTAAAAAATAAAAAGAACTCTCATCTCCCAGATGCTCTGAAATGGGTTTGGGCCAGAACTGAGCATGTGGCAGATGACTGGATAGTACTGATTTGTCTTGATCTGTACCTGAGAATCAGAGCCCTATCCTGGGCAGGTAGCAGGGACCCATGGAGCAGCATCAGAACAGAGGATATTGGTGTGGGTTTCCCTGAACAGGCCAGGTTGCTAAGGGCCAGCAAGGGAGGAGGGTGCTGGTCACAGGCCTGGTCACTTTCTGAGGATGGTGAGAAGTGTCAGCCAACTGTTATAGTAACAGATGGGACCAAAAGAGCAGAGAAATGTCAATTTTCCTTGTGAGTTGGAGGATGGGGTGGGGGAGGGGAGGGTTTATCTGTTTTTAAATCTAGACAATGAACAAATGTGAGCTATCCAAGAGGCTGCACATGAGCTCACTGTGACTTTTAACAGTCATTTCTCATATACCCCTGACTCCTAGGCGTAGTAAGATGTCTACTCAAAGAGGAAGTGTCAGCCACCCTTCCACCTTACCGAAGGGGGACACAGACCAGAGAAAAGCAGGCATTCACTTTTACCACATTTGATTAGCTCACTATGGATTGAGCCCAGGAGTCCTCACTCCAGCATGACACCACTGCCTTGGCTGTCCACCCACGTGGCTGTGGCACTCTGCTATTTCTGCCCCTTCTCTGCCCTGTCCGGGGAGACAGTCGTTTTTCTGCCATCTTCTGACTCCTCCCTCTTGGCATCTGGCAGATTCAGGCAGCTGTTCAAGGAGCTGGAAGCCAAGCGCAACAGGTGCTCGGGAGGGCATCATGATCGGGCTGGACCCCAGGCGTGCCCTTGGCGCAACTGGGTGGGCTGAGAGCTACGAGGCCAAGTGTGAGCGGAGGCAGGAGACCCGGGAGAGCCGCCGCTGGCGTCCCAACGTGACCACTTGCCGCCAGGTGGGGAAGGCCCTGAGGACCCAGCAGAGAGAGCAGCTGCGCAGAGCTCGGCAACTGCAGTTCTTCAGGAGGAGGAACCTGGAGGTAGAGGAGAAAAGCCAGGCCCAGTGTCTCCAGGCCAAGAAGCAAGGCCACTCCAGGAGGGCAGGACAGACAGCTGTCTTCAAGGAGTCTTTGTCTTGTTCCAAGAGGATCACTGCCCCTGAACAGCAGGTGGGCCACATCCGGGACACACTGCTCTGTGGGGGTGGGGCGAACCAAGCGGGTGGTAGGTGCAAGGTCACCAGCAAGAGATTCATGGTAAGTTCTTTCTTCCCCAGCCTTACAGTAAAGTCTCCATCAGCAGCCTCTTATTCAGAGATTCCGAATCTAGTGGTGACTGTAGCTCATTTTTGCATTGGGCTTGCCTTTTAGTATGGAAAAAAATAATTCCAAAAACCATTTCGTAGATAATAGCTAGTATCAGTTTGAATTCTGACAATCTACAGGTATCTTCTACAGCGACCTCACAGGCTTCCTTCATCCATCATCCATCAGCTATTTACTGAATGCTTATTATATGCCAGATCTATACACAGGCCAGTTGTCTTCCCAAAGACACATGTGCATGTTCACGCTCATCAATCCTCCGTTTTGTTTTCTTTCATTTTGAGACAAGGTCTCACTATGTAGCTCAGGTTGGCCTTAGACTTACGAGGCAGCCCAGGCTGGCCTCAAACTCACTGTGATCCTCCTGCCTCAGCCTGCTGAGTGCTAGGATTATAGGTGTGACCCACCACAACTGGGAAATCCTCCATTTAATAAGGCTGTTGTATCCACACATCTCTCTTTTCTTGTTCGCTCCATTTTGTAAATTCACTCTGCAGAGGCCTCAGCAAGTCTAGGGATCCTCCAGTGGGCTCTGCAGGCCACCTCTTCTGCTCTGTGGGCCTGTGAGGTTAGAAATCCCCCAACCTTTTGGATTGGTTTCACAGCAAACAATTTTTTGGCATTGGCACTGAGGCAGGTGTGTTCCAGGTTGACTGAAAAGGCCTAGATCCCTCACATGCTAGTTCACAGAAGGGTCCAAGTTCCTTTGGGAACCCAGTGCCACTGCAGCCTGATAGGAGGCAGAACAAAGCTCAAGCCAAATGTGAGCAACAGGGAGCCGCTATACACATGAAGCTCCCAGCTTGCCCACCACTCGCCTCCTGTCATGCAGCCCAGTTCCTAACAGGTTGGGGACCCCGCCCCAGAGGGCCCCTTAGGTGGTCCCAGAGGGCCCTATAGCATTGGCAAAAAGCAGGGTATGTGGAGATGACCTGAGCTGGCAAACTATTATGAGCATGTGAGCCAGGCTGTAAACACCCTGGCAGGAGGGATGGGTTCTCTGAATTCCCCAATAATGCCTGGCACAGTGCTGTGTCCAGAGCAGGGGCTGTCATGGGACTTCCACACAGTGGGCCTGACCTGTGCCACAGGAGGGCTGGTCTGAGGAAAGAGTCCAAAGCCTAACTGCAAAGACAGCTATCTGCTTTCTAAGACAAGGAGGTTTCTGAATGTGTTGAGAGGGACGGACAAAAAGAACCAGAAAATACAAATAACTACAGAATCCCCTGCCTATGAGTTACTTAAGGTCTCACTGAGATACACTCCTCATATATGGATACCATAGACATTTCTTAGCCTTTTAGGGTCTTATTTCCAACATGGACTTTTTTTTTTTTTTGTCTTTTTCCTTTTTATCGGTACCAGGGATTGAACTCACGACTGCCTGCTTGCAAGGCAGGCACTTATGCTGCTGAGCTAAATCCCCAGCCCCACCAACATGGACTTTTTCAGTTTGTGAGAAAATATAAAAGGCCCAACTAAACTGTGACCACCACTATTCCACCCATCCCTAGGACTCTCCCCTCTACCTTCTCTTCACAACACTTCAGCAATCCCAAGCTCCTACTAAAAAGGAAGCCATCTGTAGAAGGTTCTCACACGGAGAGGAGGCTGAGATGCAGAACAGGCAGGATGTGAAGCCAGAGTGCTCACGGCCACGCACCAGCACTCTTTCTGTATCACCATACTGGCTGTGTAAGTGGCTGGGACCGCACAAGGGCTTCCACTGAGAATGACTGCAGACAGGTCCAGCTGCCCACCTGCTGGGCCTGAGGAGGCCCCATCCCACTAGAAGGACAAGAGCAACAGCAAGTGTCACATCTTGTGTCTCTAAAAGCCCGTGTGAGTTACTTTGAGTGGCTTGACTACAAGTATTATCTTAGTCCATTTATCTGCTGTAACAGATTACTACACACAGGTGATTAAGCAATAGAAACTTACTTCTCAAAATTCTAGGAGCTGGACATCCTGGATCAAGGTCTCAGCAGATGCTGTATCTCATGAACATCCTTTTTTTGGTACAGGGAATAAAACACAGGACCTTGTGCTTGCCAGGCAAGTGCTTATGCTAATGAGCTATATCCCTGGCAAAGATGCTCTTTTGGCTGTGTAAATGGCATTCTTCTCTTTCACACAGCATAAAGCAGAGACACAAACGGGTAGCTTTCTTATATCTCTTTTTAGAAGGGCACCATCGCATTTAGGAGGTCTCCAACAAAATATTTGACCTGTTTTTCAAAGTCTCCACCTCCTAATACCATCACACCGAACGTTAGAATTTTGGAACAATGCAGAACAGTACATGTGAATTTTAGAGGACACAACATCTGCTGTTTACAGCACACAACATTACCATTTCATCTTTCTGCAGTCATTTGGCACGTCTTCTAACAAGCTCTGGACAGTGGCTCCCATCATCTTTCACTTGCTTTCCAGGTGACGGGGACCAGCTCCAAGGTCTTTCCAGTCCAGTGCCATCCTCCCTCAAGTGTCCACAGGGATCTGGCTGAGCACTATTCATCAAAAGCAGGGGCCCTTCTACCACGAGACTCTCCCATCAAGAAGCCGCCCAAACGCCACTGTGGTAAGAGCAGAGCTCTCCCACACAGCAGGGCGTGCAGAGAACTCTGCCCCAACATCCTGCTCACCGATAGTGGGAAGTCCCTGTCTCTCCCTAATGCCCTCACTGCCTCTCCACAGCTTCTGAATCATCTTTCCCTCCATCTCTCAGGCACTCAGACAAAAGCAGAAGACACACAGCCAACAATTAAGAATGACGCCAGTCAACAAACCAAGTGAGCTCCTCACATTCCAGACCCTAGCCCTCCCACATCTCACCTATTCCTCTGTTAAATTTTGTGTACCTGTGTGTAGAGGTGCGGGGGTGGGGAGGGGGTGCAACTGAGCCCAGGACCTTCACACTGAGCTATATCCTCAGCCTTTGATTTTTGAATTTTGAGACACAGTCTAAGTTGCTAAGTTGCTCAGGCTGGGTTCAAACTTTGGAGCTCCTACTGCCTCGGCCTCTCAGACTGCTAAGATTACTGGCATGCACCAGCATGCCTAGCTTCTTCTAAACTTTTATTTCATCCCTCTACGCAGCATGTACAGACATATAGTCCATACATTCACAAACACAGTGAATATCCATATCCGCTTTAACTTAAAAAGAGGAAGCCCGCTCCTGAACCCAGAAAGGTCCCTAAAGCAATCGACTCCCTCCTTCCACCTCCTGACTTGCTTGATTCTTTAGTCCATTGTCTCTCCCACCCACTTCTCTTTCCAGTTGTGGAGTTGCAGTTCTGGATAAGGTAAGAAAACCCTTACTTTGATGTGGACCCAATGGTATCTGAGCTCTGACGTTCTGGCATCCACTATAAATTTAAGCTATGGTTGGGGGATACTTTCTTCCTGAATGGTGAGAGGGTATGTGCAGGGATAGGGGACCCAGAGGAGGCCTATCAGACTCTGGGCAGGAACATCTGATTGGCACAGGCCAGCCGAAGGCTTAGTTCTATGCAAAAGGAGGTCAAGGGCCTACAGTCTTTTTGATACATGTTTTCTCTCTCTTTAGGAAATCATTCAGCTTTCTGAGTACCTCAAAGTAAGTGACCTCTCCACTCAACGTCTCCATTCACCTATGTCCTTCTCTTGGTTAACCATACCCTCTTCTATTTTTTTGTCCCACAGGAAGCCCTACAAAGGGAGCTGGTCCTAAAACAGAAAATGCTGATTCTCCAAGACCTATTGTCTACCCTGATTCGGGCCTCCGACAGCTCTTGGAAGGTAAGGGAATGAAACTTTGAACAAAGCCCTGGAACTGCTAGGTGTACTCCTCTCATCTTTCTTTTCCATTCCACCTAACAAGAGAAGGCTGTCTCACCATTGAATAGAGGTCTAGAAAGAAGAGAAAGGTGGGGATGTGGTGGTCAGACTTCGAGGTCACACAGGTCACAGTTGATAAATACATGGTCATCAGCTGAGGCTCTTGATGCTACACCTAGGAAAACTCAGAACTCAGAAAAGTTGAAATAAATATTATTTTTTTAATTTGTAGAGCTCTTTCTTCTAGTAGTTTATATTATTGCATATGGTAAATGCAAATGGTTTTTGTGTGAGATTCACATCAATATCCACTGAAGCCACCGTGTATCCAGTACTCAGCCCAAACATGAGTGTTAGCGTAGGAAGGGGCTTTAGAGAGGACAGCCTAAGCCTCTCCCATTGGCTACGAGGAAGGACTCTCAGAAAGGTTAAGCAACTTGCCCAGTGTCATTGAGCTAAGTGGCACAGGAATGGAACTAAAGTCAGGTCTCTAATTTTAGTCCATTCATTCTACAAATATTAATAGATTATGTTCTTCCTACTGAGCACAGGGATAACACAGGAAAAAATGAGATTCTTGGCAGGGATCCTGACTTTTGAGAGTACATCGTTTTATAAGAGAGACTGAACAATACCAATATTATAACAAATAAATGTTTTTAGAATATAGTAGACTACAAGAAGGGATGAATAACTCCAGAAAGGGAGATACAGGGAAATATTCAGTTATAGAAGCATTTGCCAGGCAAAGAAAGAAAGAGAAACAAGATTATGTATAGGAGACAGTATAGGCAAAGACCCAGAGGCAGGTATAGAACCCAGTGCAATGGGTCTCCAATTGTTTTTTTCATCTCAAGACTTCTTCTTGTTTTTTGGTAAGTTGTTTGTTCATTTGTTAGGTTTCACTATGCAGTTCAGGCTGGCCTTGAACTCAGTTTGTGGCCCAGGCTGGCTTTAAACTCACAATGATCCTCCAGCCTCAACCTCCTAAATGCTGGGATTACAGTCATGTACCATCATGCCCAGCTCAAGATTTCTTTATACTATTTAATTATTAAAAATTCCAATTAATTTTTTATATTTAAAATATTAGAATTTACCATGCTAAAAATTGAATCCGAAATTCAGAAATATTTTTTAATTTTAAAATGATTAACTACCTTATGTGAACCTTAATTACATACTCTATGAAAAATAACTATACTTTCAGAAATTAAAAATGAGAAGCATTGCTTTACACTTTTGCAAATCTTCCTGTGTCTCACTGAACAAAAGACAGGTAAATTCTCATACTTGCTTCTGAATTCAATGTGTTGTAACATATTCTCTTGGTTAAAATATATGAAGAAAATTCAATCTCACACAGACATGCAGTTGCAAAAGGGAAGTCCTTGCAGATCTCTTTTCAGGACCTTGGGGACCTGCAGAGGTCTCTGAGCACACAGTGAAACCCTTGGGTACAGGGAGTTACCCAGAACCCAGGCCAGCAAAGCTTACAGCCCCAGGGATGGTGAGGCAGAGCATGAGACCCGAACAGGCCCCTGGAGGCATCTCCCCTGCCAGGAAGACAGCCTGAGCTCAGAGATGCAGCAGGTAATACAGAACAAAGCCAAGATCACAGTAATATGAAAGGGCTTCCTGGGGCAAGGATGTTGCTCTGTATAAAGCCCTCATCTAGCATGTGTGGGGCTCTGATTTTGATCCCCAGTACCATAAAAATACAAAATAAAAAAATGGGCATTTGAAAAAGGCTTCCTAGCTTAACCCTGCATCCTCATAACAATCATGCACCCAGCTCAGGAGACTCCAGGAGAGCCTTGGCCTGTTAAGGAAGTTGTTTCCCTCAGCAGAGTAGGGTGCAAGCAGCTGTGCAGACCAGGTGGTTTCCGGCACTGAGCTAAAAGGAGATCCACTCACGCATTTGTTAACAGACATTTGATAAGCTCCTCCTCCATGCTGCACCCTGGACTTCAGGAACAAAAAAGTAGAGTCTTTGGCCTTAAGGAGCTCACAGTCCAGCCAAAAGGGCAGAGATAGGATAAATAACTCCCAAACAACCTAATAAGTCTACAGCCATGGAGTACACAACACAGCACAGGGAAGACAGCATTGTTCTGCGGGAGGCTCCACAGGAAAGAGATCCTCTTAGGGTCTGAAGGATGAATTAAATTCACCAATCCAGAAATCAAGTGAGATAGGAAAGAAAGAGCAGCAAAGAGAGGAGTATTTGAATTAACAGGTCAGAATGACTGCAGCCTAGGCTGCCCCTGGCATTGAGTGTGGGAGGCACAAAAGGATCATATCAGAGCACCACCAAAGAAAAGGCCTTAGCAGGTCTCCAGAATTCTATTATGAGACTCAAATTCTTTCTGCTCAACAGTATATCTAAAATTTAAACGATCAATGGGCCCTTTTGTGTTTTTCTTTTGCATGGACACAATAAAAGGATGTATCTCACAGATCCAAGAGATATATGCTACCCCGAGTTTGGGAAACAGCTTCAGTGGAGAAGCAAGGTAGCAGCCAGGTGTGGTGGTGCACACCTGTAATCCCAGCACTCTGGGAAGCTGGGGCAGAAGGATCACAAGATTGAGCCCAGTCTAAGCAACTTAGCAAGACTCTGTCTCAAAATAAAAAATAAACAAAAAGGGCTGGGATACAGCTCAATGCAAAAGCCCTGGGTTCAATCCCCATTACACAGACACAGAGACACAGAGACATAGATAAGGTTGGGGGAGCAGGGGAACTAGGCCTTATTTGACTTAGCAGTCTGCCCTTCTGCACAAGACACTCAACTGAATCATAAGTGAATGATCACATCTGTGTTTATCAGATTCTCCAACCAGAACCTGACTCTGGATGAGGTTGGAGCAGTAGAGACTTAAGCCATAATCTGAGCTCAAATTATGGCAAGTTTGGTAGCAGTGGGGAAGATTTGCTGCAAGGCATAGACACTGAGGGAGAATTTCACCTCAAGCTCAGCCCAGCGTTCCTCTGGCAATGGTTTTTCCCACCCCTCCCATTCCTTACCCTTTACTTTACACAGCCCTCATCTTCCTGTTTTTAAGGAAAATACTCTCCGACTATTCATCTGAAAGCTCTTGCTTCTCCCAAAACAAGACAATCAACTCTCTATCCCTCCCTAAAAGCCTCAACTTCAGTGAAAGGACAGCCCCAGTCTGTGGTATTTGGGGAAAATAACCAGATGAATGTGGCCAGACCTGGGTCTCTGATGTCTGGTCCAGTTCACTTTTTTCTTTCCCCTTGGCACCATGATTTGAGTCTCCAACTTCATACATGGAGCTTGCAGCAATGTGATTAGAACCCCAAGAATCCACAACCTCTGCTATTTTCAACTCCAAGTGGACTCTAGGCCTTTTGATGCCAAAAGCCCTGGCATTCTGCTGAGAACCAGAGCTAGGCCCAGCCTTCAGAGCAGGAACAGCTCAGCCAGTAGAGAAAGCTCAACACCCAGTGTTGCCCACAACACAAAGATGAGAGCAGGATATTGTTCGGATTCTATTCTGCAAAGTAGAATTGAGATCTTGAGATGACAGCGCAGCAGGGGATTGGCTAAATACCCTAAGCAACCTCTGCTGGAGGAGACAGATGAGCTGTGGTCTAGTGTTTCTGTGGTGAGCCAGTGGTGTTTTGGAAGACAGTTCAGAGGCAGGGGAAAACCAAGCAGAAGCAGGAGCTGAAGCCCTCAGACCAACACCAGGTGTGTATGACTCCGCCTTACTCCTTTTTCTACCAGGCTAACTGTGCCTGAGCCCCTGGCTCCCGGGTGTGTCTGCATGGAAGGTCAGCAGCAGGCCTGTGAGAAGTACATCTTCCCACACTCTTAACATCGGGCTTCAGTAGGAGCAGACCTGGGCCCTGACCAGGAAACTACGTGGCCCATTTGTAACAACTTGGCTGAAACCTTGCTGCCTGCCTTGGGGAGTCTGTGAAGGCAGCACCATGTACAACAGATTCTGTTCAGGCTCCACACTGGGGTGGAGGCCCTTGGCCTCCACAGAAGGGGCTATCATGAATTGTCTTGCACTGTGACATGAATGGAAAACTAATCTGGGGTGGAGCCAAAATGTAAAAAGAGCTGGAAGAGGCAAAATAGATTAAAGCCATACTGTGAAACAGGGAGAAAAGAGCTGTCCAAAAAGGACAGGAGACCGGAGATTTTAAGAACACTGCCTTGGGCCTATTTTCTTCTCTATCTCTAGCAAGAAAATCTTTAAATGTGGTGGGTTTGATTGCATTCTGCAGAGTGACAGTTTAGGCAAAGAAAATGCATGGACTTTGAAGATTCCTACCAGGGGACTTTGGAATGAAGCCAACTGATTTCAGGACCTGTGGGTGGACAATGAGCAGGCCACTGCTTGGAATGTGGCCATTTTACCAAGGCCCAAACAGTGGAAGGTTTGTCCATCTCTTTCATTCATTCCAAAGCTGTGGGATGTAGATACCAAATCCCTGGCTCTCAGTTCTCTTTCACATGAGACATTGGGAAAAACATTAAGAGCAGGAGGCACTTTAAAGAATTGTCTTTGGCAAAGCTTTCTGCTTTTGCAAGGCCTAGCTGAGTAATACAGGAAGCAGAAAGGGTGGGGGCATGCCCTGGCCCCCATGGTTAGAATCTGCCAAACAAGACCAAAATAGGAGCTGTGAAATACCACTTCCTGCCTCCCCTGCCCCCACTCATGGAAAGAAGCAGACCTAAAAAAGCCCCCCTTCTGCTTCCCCCATTATAAACCAGAAATATGATGAAGGTTGGAAATGTTCTAGCTATATGACTGATGGAACCACTGCATCCAAGGCCTGAAGAGATGCGGAATTTCTAAACCCCACAAAAGTCCCACAGGGCCTGGATAGAAAAAGTCAGAAAAATAAGCAAAACAGTTACGGTGAGAGAGGCCCATGGCCCTTTCTCTGGGGAATTTACTATCTCTGGTATTGTTATTTTGGCAGTAAGGGGCCCCTGGAACCAAGCCCAGTGGATGCCCATGGATGACTGTATGCTAGAGCTGCCATGAAAGAGTAATACAGAGAGCAGGGTCGTTTCAACAACAGAAATTTATTTTCTCATAGCTCTGGAGTCTAAACCTGAGATCAAGGCGTCAGTAGGACTGGCTTCTCCTGTGGTCGCTTTCTGCTAGCATGGGACCACCTTTCCTGTGTCTTCACATGGTCATCCCTCAGGTTTTCCTGCTGTCCCAAACTCCTCTTTCTAAAAGACTTTGGTCTGCTCTACAACTTCTTTATCTACACCCACCCTCAAATAAAGCAAATTCAAAAGACAGTAAAGGTTTTAAAATAATGTATATTTTTACCAGGGCAGTGTGTGGATACCAGAAGATGTACAGCTTTTTAATTATAACAATGGAGTAAACAAACTAGAAACTACTAAGCGCATTGCTAAAGGAGGGACATACGTATAATACATTTATTCTGTCAGACTAAAAAATATATGTATGTAAAAAACTTATGATCCCCTCTATAATTACAGAATTCAAATATGTAAGGAATTACCACAAAAAGATTTCTAATAAATAGAACATATCCAATTGTGGCGTTCCTAATGTGTATTTTTAAAGCATGTATCTGCCTAGATAGAAAACAAACTATCACATGAGTAAAGCTTAGTGTTCAAAACATTGAGACATTCTTCACCTGTTGTGTCACCAAATAAAAGTTATGCTGCTATTAAAAAATATATATATATATATATATAACTGAGCCAGGCGTGGTGGCACACTTGTAATCCCAGCACCTGGGAGGTTGAGGCAAAAGGATTACTCCAAGTTTGAGGCCAGAATGAATTATGTAGTGAATTTTTGAGATTCTAGTCTTAAAAACTAAAAACAAAGATTCTGGTCATACTGGATTAGGCTACATTTCAAGACTTCATTTCAACAGAATTATCTACTTAAAGACCCTACTGAAAGACCCTATCTCCAAATATGATCACTTTCTAAAGTACCAGAGGTTAAAACTTCAACATACAACCTTAGGATGAGGGGACTTCAGCTTCCAGTAGGAAGCAAGGGAGAGAACACTTGGCCTATACTTTATAGTCAAGGTCCAGGTTTGAGACTGAAGTGAGGAGTGGACAGTGTCCCATCAGGGAGCGAGGGGATGAGGAAAAGGACCTTCCACACTAGGATACAGCCTGAGCTATCTGATAAAGAACTGGAAGGCAAAAAAGAGTGGGGATCAGTCTGATCCACCCATGTCCTCCCCAAGCAGCCTGTCATCACTGCTCCTCCCGACAGAGGTGCTTGTGCTGAGCTTTGGCAGGGGAGCAACTCTAGTACTCTGGCTTGTGCTTATTATCCCTTCCCTCTGCTCCAGGGCCAGCTGAATGAAGACAAACTGAAGGGCAAACTGAGGTCCCTAGAAAACCAGCTCTATACCTGTACCCAGGTAAGCTTTCCAGAGGACACTTTTGGCTCATGAATCCCAAACCAAATGAAAATGCTGAAGCTGTAGCGCTACTCCCTGAAATACTCCTACTGACCAAGGTCTGCTGTGGCCACTCTCACTTTGGTACCGAATTTGCCATGACTATCTCCGGCCTCCCCTCTTCTCCCATTATCCATCCCTGTGCATGCTGGGAAGGAATCTCGGCACTGAACACTTCATCAGCAACAAGGGAGCCTTGAGAACAGGGAGAGACCCTTGGTAAACACCTGCACCATCCCACTAACCTTCACAGGTCCTGGTGTTTGTTTTGTTTTGTTTGCTTTGGGACAGTCTTGCTAGATAGCCCAGGCTGACCTTAAACTTGAAGCAATCCTCTTGCCTCAGCCTCTGAAAATACTGGGATTACAAGCATGCGCCAACACATGTGGCAGATCCCAGTACTTAAACAGATGAATTGGATGTTACAAGGTTTTTGGGTTTTGTTTGCTTGCTTGTTTTAGGGTAGTTGAATGGAACTCAGGGTGTCATGTATGATTGCTAAGCACTCCACCACTAAGCTACATAAGCTACATATTGAAATGTAGCCTAATCCAGTCTTTCTGCTTTTTTTCTGTGGGGGTGGAGATAGGGTCTGGCTAAATTGCCCTTGCTGACCTTGAATTTGTTTTCCTCTTGTCTAATTAAGCTTCCTGAGTAGCTAGAATTCCAGGAGTGCATCACTGCACATAGTTAATACAAAGTTCTCAAAAATGATTTTTTTTTTTTTTTTTTTTTTTTTTTTTGTGGTACCAGGGATCAAATTCATGACCTCACACGTGCCAGGCAGGTGCTTATGCCACTGAGCTAAACCCCCGGCCCTCAAAAAATGATTTTCATTCTGTGGGCAATATTTTCCTATTAGTAACCTCTGGAAGAAAGTAAGAGTATGCTCAGCAGCACAGTGCCTATCTGGCCAGCCCTTTAATTCTTGGCACACACACACACACACACACATATACAAATTCCCTTCCCCTTTACAAAATAAAGTAAGAATATGACTCAGCTTTTCTGTGACATAATCATCCAGCTTCACTAATCTCTCAATCTGGCCTAATCTTAACTAAAAAAAAAAAAAAAAAAAAAAAATCAGTCTTCACATCTTTGAGACGCGATGGATTCCCACCAGGCAGGGAAAGAGCAGAGAGGCACAGGGACTCAGCTGTGACCCCTGCATGTCGGAGGCTGGCAAGTTTCAGGTCAGCCTCTGTGATATGGCAAGAGCTGTCTCAAAAAGGGAGGCAGAAGGAGTAGTCAGGTGTCTCTCATTTGGAATAACAGTTGGGCTCTTGCAGCAAAACAGTTTATACAGTCTGTAGGTTTGTTCCTCTGCCTGCAAGTTATATTTTTTCAGTATGATCTGCTTTGTTAGGTTTTTATGAATTAAATAATCCAAACCACATTTGTAAAAGACTTGCATATAATCCAGAATGCCAATCTATTCATTTTCAGTAGGGGATAAAGCTGGTCACAAACCAGCATGATTAAATCCAATTATTGAGCCTGGCGCAGTGGCGCACAACTATAATCCCAGCACTTGGGCGACTGAGGCAAGACGATCACAAGTTCAAGGCCACCAGAACTACACAGTGAATTATCAAGGCCAGCCTGAAATATGTAAGAGACTCTATTTTAAAACCAAACAAACCAAAATAAATCCAATAACGATGCCATGCCCCTTGTATAATCTCAACCAATCACCCCTGGATTTAGTTAATAAAAACTTAAGGCCCATTCACATATAAATCCAAATTTTCAGACAATTCCAAAGCTAAATGGAAATGATTTAGATTGATTCCTAAGCTTTCATTAGCAGGCATGCTTACCCCAGGGGTAATCTAGGAATGAGTACAAGAGTTGCCTGCCTTCTCCAAATCACAGGGCAGGAAGAGGAAAGGCACAGAGAGGGCAGATCCCAGTGAATCTACAGATTTGCTCCACTGTCTTTCCTGACCCTCAAGTCAGGAGTGAATGCATTAATTTTTTTTAAAAATGTTTTCACATTGAGTTTACTAAGAATTTCTCTGACCCATGAGGCTGTTTTTAACTTTTTTAAAGCAGCAGCATGCTCCCTGATCCAATGGAATTTACAGGTCCATAGGGGAGAAAGACTTGGGTCAACACAGCAGAACAAAAGAAGTATGCAGACAATGTGAAGAGGAAGCAAAACCACCTACCAGGGGCTCATACTCGCTGGTAATCCCAGCTACCTGGGAGGCTGAGACCAATCTGGGCAAATCAGTGAGACACTGTCTAAAAACGGTATGGGGGGTTGTAGCCAGTACAGAGCCCCTGACTTCAATCCCAAGCACTCCTCAAAAGAGAAGGAAAAAAAAAGAACAAAACAAGGTTTGGTACACACTAGCAATTCCAGCATTCTGAGAGACTTGGCTAGGAGGAAGAATTCAAGTCCAGCCTGGGCAACTTGAGAAACTTAGCAAGACACCATCTCAAAATAGAAAATGATTTTTTAAAAAGGTGGGGTTGGGGATGTGATATGAGGATGTAGCTCAGTGCCAGTACCACAAAGAGAAGGCGGGGGGAGCAGGGGAGGAATTTAATTCATAAAGAACTGGGAAATAGGAGTTAATTCAAAATTTACCAGAACTGGAACTGGACCTGGTGGCATGTATCTGTAATCTCAGCACTTGTGAGGCTGAGGCAGGAGGAATGATGCAAATTCGAGGCCAGCCTGGGTACACAGTGAGTTCAAAGCCTCAACTACATAGTGGGGCTTTATCTCCAAAAAAAATTCACCAGAACTAATGTTACCTGGGCTGAATCTCGAGCATGAATTGAGGTCAGGTGGATGAAAAGGTGATGCTCCAGGCAGAAGAAACTATTCAGGCAATAGCGAAGGCTAAAAATCATACTCAGGATCTGCAAAGCACCCAAGTAGAGGCTGCACAGTACGAAAGTCTGGGTTATATGCAGTGAGCTCCAGAAATTTGGACCTAATCCTTAGGACACTGAGGAACCACTGAGAGATTTACACAGAAGCAGCATGATGATGTGCCACTGTTAGCAAGAATCCTCTGACTTACAAAGTTCAAAGGGAGGCAAACCTAAGAGGTAGGAAGACTATTACATTAACCCAGTCAATAGCAGCAGAAAGGAAAGGGAGGATACAGGCATGAGCTGTTCAGGAAGTTGACGAGGCCCAGTGAAGGGACACAGAGAAAGGCAGAGAAACTTAATGGGAGATGACCTATGTTACTGAGGTAGGAAGCCCAGGAGAAAGGAGATCTAGGTTTATGAGTGCTGCTGGGACTGATTGGATTTCAACAGCCTACAAAGGCCAACACACAGCAGTCCCATGGTACTCACTTCTCACAGCCAGAGGGACTCCTGCTCAGCTCTAGGATGGAGGAAAAGCCCGGTACTATGTACCTCTGCCCTGACAGCAAGGCCCAAATTCTCTACATCTCTGTACACCAGCTCAGTGCTTGGTACACCAGCTCCAGAAGCTCAATGTGTTGGTTCAATTGCATCAAATTTGCAGAAATACTCCCCTTGGGGAATGAAAAAGGTGCTGCTGGAGATGGAAGACCAGAAAAACAACTATGAGCAGAAGGCCAAGGAGTCACTGCAGAAAGTGCTTGAGGAGAAAATGGGCGCAGAGCAACAACTACAGAGCACACAGGTGGGAATGTGGGATGGGATGGTACTTGGCTGAGAATCCCAGGGCTCATCTAGAAAGCAAGACATAACTCCCCGGAAACTGTTCCTTACCAAACACACCTGACATTGATTTTAATATAAACAAACAAGAGGGTACAATGTGTTTCTGTAACTCTTCCTCCAAGTCTCTGCCTTGGTAGGGGAGACTTCCACTGGTATCCGTCCTCTTTAATCTCCCTCAGCGGTCCCTGGCCCTGGCAGAGCAGAAGTGTGAAGAGTGGAGGAGTCAGTATGAGGCTCTGAAGGAGGACTGGAGGACGCTAGAGGCACAGCACAGAGAGCTAGAGAGCCAACTCCACGTGCTTCAGTCCAAACTACAGGTACCAGGCATTGGGAGCAGGGTGAGGAGGCGGCTAGGGAAAAGGGGTGGTAGTCGAGGAAAGCTTCTCTTAGGTGTGAAGCTCCAAGGTAGCTGAGGGCATCTAGCTTTCAGTTCCTCACTCAGGCCTATTTTGTGCCAGGGTCATTGTTTCAGGTCTGAAATTCAGTTCTGAGTTAACAAAGGACTGAGTTAACAAAGCTCATGTGACTGTTCACTGGAATGACATAATCCAAATACAAAAGGGTGGGCTGTAATATTTATCAAGCTACTAACATCATACTCCAACCCACAATCTGAAACCATCCCAGTAGAGCATCTTGTTCAGAACTGCCTGCTGCTTGCACAAAATAAATGTCAGTAACTTATTTATAGGTGAGTAAAAACTAATATTGCAATTTTTTAAGGCAATTGCAGAGGACTCTGGACATGCTCAAAAGTTTTATTTCTAATCTGCTACCCTAGAAAAGTTAACTAACCTCCAAAGCTTCAGTTTCCACATCTCTAAAATGAGTGTAGTATTACCTGAATCACAGGACCCTTATATGGATCCAACACAGTAGCACTAAGCGTAATGTCTGGCACATACAAACATTCAATGCACATTAGCTGCTGCACTGCCGATTTTACTCACTTGGCTTCAACTCTGAGGGTGCACCCCAAAAGTTGGCTTTACAATTTTCCTGAAATAGGGATCAGAGTAGCTCACTTGGCAGGAGAGGGTGTGCGGCTTTTCAAAGGAGGAACCCTCACTGGCCCTTCCCCACTGTGCCCATACTGGAATCTATTGTTCTCTTCTTCCTATCACCCATAAGGCAATTCTTAGGAAGATATTTTGAATTCTTTTTTAGACCTTTTCTTTATGGAAAATACCACACACACACACACACACACACATGCACAAACTTGACAGTGGTAGAATGAAAAGTAAAGAGAAATTCAAAACATCTAGGTAAAAGCTGACCTGGTATGCTTTCATCTGGGGATTTACACCAGTGTCAAGGCATGATCCCTCTGAGTACCAAAGTCTAATGCATGGCTTAAAAATGTGAGGAACACAGCAAAGAATATGAAAAAAAGCAATTCTCTAACACTTGTAGCTCTTAAATTTTGCAATTTCCTGTAATTTTTCCCTTCTAGGGAGCCTGCTTCCTACCTCTCTACTGATCAAGACTCTCTTCCTCCTTACAGGGAGCAGACAGCAGAGATGCACAAATGAACCAGGCCCTGAGACTTTTGGAGAATGAGCACCAAGAGCTGCAGGCCAAAATTGAATACCTGCAAAGGGAGCAAGACCTGTGCACCTCTGATTCCCAGGACCTGCAAGGTACCCTCCTCCTTGGAGACCTGGGGAGCACGGGACCCAACAGCTAAGGGAGCTCTGGGGAGGAGGCTGGGTGGACAAACAGCCTCAGCCTTCATTTGTTTGCTTGGTCTTATGATTTCCTCTTACCTTGAGGGAAAAGGAAGGGCTCTTTTAATTAGCCAAGACAAAAATTAATTTTGCTGCACTAGAGGATCTTGTGTGAACTCTCTTCTCTCATAGCCCATTCCTCTGGGCAAGATTACAGCTGCTCCCATATTAGTCACATGTGTCAAGGCCACATTCCTAATTTGAAACAGAAAGGTCAGCTCAAACTCAAGGCTGCATGAAGGTATCCCAGTAAGAGCCTATATCAGCTGACTTGATAAGTGGAAATACAGCCCTTAATCCAACCCAACACTGTTGACATAGACCCCTCCCGGATAAAAAGATATGTGAGTGCTAGTCTACCACTTTAGAACTGGGACATCCACAGAAAGCAGAACAACTTCCACTAGACAAGTGTCCCTGGTACTAATTTCCATCCTCGGATACTGAGTTCATTAAGCTGGGTTCTTCTATTTTGGTCTGCACTGTTTCATTTTCAGATCAACTAAAGAGGTCTGAGGAGGAGAAACTCGCCCTAGTGGCCACGGTACAGCAGCTGCAGAGTAAGTTTCCTTCCTAGACTCTCACTCCAGCACCCAGGGGAAGGGCTGGGCACATCCTCCTGTGCATTTTTAGATGCACTTCTTGTAAACTGCATTCATTTAAACAGCGCTTCACAATTTACTGTTAGCCTTTGGTTTTTTTTTTTTTTTCTTCCACGTCAGTAACAATCACTTCATGTTTATGAAAACTGTAAGCTTTATAAAGCACTAATGTTGTGCATTGCTTCTTTTCATTTGTATTCTCACTTATTACATGCATAAGTATCTCACTTAGACCTTTCTCACTAAAATAAGCATGTATTGAGGTCCTAGTGTCAGGAACCCTGGAAGTTAGAGAATATAATGACAAAACTAATATTCCTTCCTTTGTAAAGGTGATATTTGAAATAAGGTCTCCAGTCTAGTTCAGGGCTTGTATGAGGAAAAAAGTCGTAATAAGGCTTATGGAGGAAATAACAGATCAAAGGAAAATACTTGTTACTTGGCATAGGGTCATCTGGGAAAGCTTTGCCTTTCTTAGGGAAAAGTTTTTGTTTTGATAGTGTCTCACTATGTAATTCAAACTGGCCTTGAAATCACTAGCAGCCCAGACAGGTCTCAAACTCAGGGCTATCCTGCTGTCTCGGTCTCCCAAGTACTGGGATTACAGGTATACACCACCATGCTCAGCAAGCTTCTTTTAGGGTAATCTTTAAGCAGAGACTTGAAAGCAAACACAGGGTAGGAAATATGAGAATATATTTATAACAGTACTACAGATGGGCGACCTGAAGACCAAGAAATAGTCTCACAGTTCTTCAAGCCAAAGTCCAAAATCTAACTGTGGGCAGGGCCACTTTTTTCCGGAGGCATTCAGAGAAGGATCTATTCTCCTCCTTTGGCTCTGCAGATGGTCATCTTCTTCACTTCCTCATTCCCCAGAGTATATCTGTGTCTAAACTTTGCCTTCATGCAAGGACACCAACTATAGATTAGAGCCCACCATAATGACCTTATTTTTACTTGACTACTCCTATAAAGACTATCTCCAAAGAAGTTACACTTTGAGTTAGTGGGCAGGGAACCAGGGATATAACTCAGTGGCACAAGCACCTGCCTGGTTAAGTACAAGGTCCTGAGTTCAACTCCCAGTACCAAAAAGAAAAAAAAAAAAGAATGAGTTAGTGGGCAATTAGGACTTCAGCATATTAATTTTGGGGGATAAATTTCAATCCATAACAGATGAAAATATCTTTTAAGGCTCTAAACAAAGGTCTGAAGAGGTTCTTTGCAGTCCGTCTACTAGCACAGACAAGTTCTTTATGTTTCCCAACAGGTCTGCTTCAGAAACAATCCTTACAGCTTCAAGAACAGGAAGAACTCTTAAAGAAAGGTCAGCAAATTTACTACCACAAATCCTAAGCTATGTTACTCTTTGCTCACCTAGAGGAAAGAGGGTGAACTACATGACCTGTTGGATCTCATCCAGTTCATGCAGTCTGTTAAGTCAGGGATGCAGGGGAGTCTTTTATGAAATGATCCCCTGCCCTGGGGACACCACACTAGGTAGTCTTCTTCTTCTATCCTAAGAGGTACACAAACTGTGAAAAAGGATTTCCACTTTCTCTGAAAACATGTTTATGCTGAATATTGCAATAAATTGATTTTGAACTCAGGATTTCATGTCAGTTTTTACACATTTGACTTTCCAAACCACATCCCAAATTACATAGCACGCATAATTCAACCTTGGGCTGGAGACATAGCTCAGTGGCACAGTGCCTGCCTGACAAGCACAAGGTCCTGAGTTATATTCCTAGCACCAAAAATAAAAAAAACACCTCAATCTTATTTTAGCCCTAAAATAGTTTGCTGCTCAAGTTTCCTGAGACTTCCTCTACACACAGAGGGGGTAACAACTGCTCATTTACTCATAACACATAGCCTCTTTTCTCCTCACAATCACTGACACAATATAAAAGGCAGAAAGTACAGAGTTCCCTGATCACACAAATTAAGAATAGAGCTAAGATAGAAATCCAGAATCCTAATTCCTAGTCCTTTTCTCTTTGTACCCTGAAGACTAATACTGCAAAAAAAAAAAAAAAAAAAAAAAAAAAAATTTAATTTTAAAAAAGACTAACACTGTAAAATGAAAAAAAAAATCTTTAGTCACATATAATAAATTCTAGGATCTGAATGCAATCTTCATGATTTTGAAAGGATGTAAGGGAACATCATACTGAAACATTCAGCCAATCTACCTGACAAACCATGAAATATGACACATAGCCAAAAAAAAATGTAATTAATTAGTAGTCATTTATCAAGTAGTCTGGGGACACACAAAAAAGCCAAGCCTGCTCTCAAGGAGCTTAAACTCCAGCAGTCTGTCAAAGCTGAGCATGGGCCAATGAAAGTTCTTTTCAGCACGAGGATTGCACTCTACTCATCTAAGAGCAGACCCTCCTCTCACCCTCAGTTCTCACAGGCAGGGTCCTGACTCAGCAACCCGGGCCTCACCATCACTACTTTTTTAGATCAGGCCTTCACTGTGTGGACTCCAAAGCCTCCCCAGCAAGTGGAGCTTGAGGGTACTGGGAAGGACAGAGACTGGGATCTTAGAGACCAGCTGCAAAAGAAGACTTCACAGCTCGAGGCCAAGGAACAGGAGGTGAGAAGTAACCTAGGACCAGAGGGGCACATCCCTAAATAAATAGCAGGGGAAATTGTTAGTAGGCAGCTGGAACAGGAATTTCAGTTTATATCGTAATTAGATGCATGCACAGATTTCTGTGTCCATGAAAAACCTCTCTGCCTTTGGGTTGATTTGTCAATTGTTTCCTTGCCTTACTCACCCAACACTGATTAAAGGTTTTATTAGTTACCTTGCAGAAAGTCAACCTCAGCTCAAACACATTTGATAATTAACTTCTCAAGCTTTGTTCCACACTGAGTATCTCTGGAAGCTTTATATCTTTATGTCTCTTAAATAGCAAAACATCCTTGCCTACACACACACGTCCTTGCAAGCATTCAGAAACAATCAGCTCCCAGAACAGACTTGTACTAAAAGCACTTCCAAGTCTTTGTGCTACAACAGCTTCATTTTTTGGTATCCCCATTTACAAAGTCATTGCTCACACACTGTGCCATAAAAACATTTACATGTGGATATAGCTCAGTAGCACAGTACCTGCCTGGCAAGCACAAGGTCATGAGTTCAATCCCTGATACCAAAAAAAAAAAAAAAAAAAGAAGAAATTTACATGTATAAATTATAATATATGCAACATATCACTTCAAAGGACATACTCCAGGCAAACTAGGATGGTAGAAAAACCAACTGAAATCTGAGAAAGGCTGGGAGAAGTCAATGGCTCAGTGAGGGAAGGAGTACCTTACTCAGGGCAGTTTCCCCTCCCTGGGCTCTATCCCAAACAGAACTGGTGGTGATGACCTTGGTGATATTCTCCCCAGTGCACAGAGCTGCATTCAGAGTTAGACAACCTCTGCGACGAGTACTTCTCCTGCCTGCATAAGCTACAGCACTGTCGAGAAGAGCTGAACCATAGCCTGCAACCACCTCCCAGAGTAAGAAAACCTCAATCTTTCTGTACAGCACTAGATGCTAGTGGGACAACTACTTTTTTAGCCAAATCTTACAAATAAAATTTATTAGCGCACACCTACATCCAAACATCCTGTCCCACTCTGCTTGGTTTATACTATGCTGACATGAAACCATGCAACCATGAAAGAAACACTAGTTGACTCATCCAAGCCTAATTTTCATGGAATTCTTGCACCAAGAAAGACTCACTACAGGCTAACCAGAAATTTCTTAATCTGAAATGCTCTGAATCTGAAATGTTCTAAATCTGAAACTTTTTGAGCACTAGCATGAATTCTGGAGCAGCCAGGCATGGTGGCCCATGCTTGTAATCCCAGTACTTGGGAAGCTGAGGAATACTCAACCTGTACTAGCTCAAGTATGAAAGAGTATTCTTTGTTAACACGACAAGCACAGGGAGAGGAGAGCAAAATCACGGAGGCATATGGCTACAGAACATGATTGTGCTGGATTCTTTTCTACCCTTGGTTATTTCCTTTGGCATTTAAATGCCTGGTCCCTATATATGCTCCTGGGCTAGCAACCACTAGTAAAGTAGTTTTACCTCAAGGGAGGTACAGAAACCAGGACACAGAAATAAAAAAAAAGTTTCTCTGCCACCAACCAAGGTTTTCCACTGGGCTAGAATAAGATCACTTGTGCCCACTTTTTTTCTCCAATTCATGGCTGCTTTCTCGTCTCCCTCCCTTCACACAGAGGCGATGTGGCCAATGGTTCCCAATGCTGATGGTGGTGATTGCTACAGCACTGGCTGTATTCCTGGCCAACAAAGACAGCCTGATGATATGAAAAACTCATGACAGCTGACTGGAGTAAAAACCAAAAAGCAAACAGTTAAACAAAAAACTCAAGTTTGGGTACTTCATAGCTTGAGTTCTCCCTCCAACTAAACTACGATTTCTGACTTAATTTTTCAAGGTATTATAAATAAATTTCACATCATTGAACTGTACACTGGAGGTCTTGATTTATTCCTAAACAGCATTATCATCTCCCAAGTGTGATACTTAAGCATGCCAATCCACTCCAGTCCAATTCAGTTAGAAGTACATAGATAAACATAGAGAAACACACCGTCTTTTCCTAGAAGACACTATCACAGGGCAGGACAGAAGGGTGGCCTTCAGAATGCTTTTTTTTCTTTTCTTTCCTCAGAACACTTCTTTTCCCCATGTCTCTTCTGTTCTCTCTCTTATCCAATGAAAAGTTAATAGGCACCTCTGTTCATAGAGAACCCCTAATATAGAAATGCCAGATACGCACTACCAATGCTACAACTATCCCCTATTCACAGTATCATGTTTAGCAGATTAAAGCGTTCTTTCCTAGTGTCCTCAAAACACTTAGAATTAGTACTTCAAATGATTCCTAGTTGACATCCTCAACAAAAATATAATTATTTATAGGATATTTTTTATATAGGACAGTTAGAGGGCCACAGCTGGCAGTGTGACTATTTCAGAGGTGATACTGAGATCAGCAAAGTCATTCTGAGTCCTAAATCGGGTTCGGAGGTCCTTCTCCCAGGCATTTAGAATGTGCCTCAAGGCTGTGAACAAGCTCTCTGGGACACTAAAAGAATACAGCAAGACTGGGGGCTGACCTGGAAGCCATGAGGTGTGGGCAGTGAATACCCGTAGTGGGGTCAGGGCCAAACAGTTGTCATTTCCCTCATTCAGGTGAAAGGTATATGAGACAGGATAGCCTAGAAGGAGCCCAAATACAGTACAGAGATTCCAGTCCGAGGAATGGAGCCTGCTATGAGAGACTCCTAGAGATAGGTCTCTCTGCAGCTCCTGCAAATGCCTGGTGATCTCAGCCACAAAGGCCTTCAAGTCCTGAAGCTGGTCCAGGGAACACAGGGAAGGGTGTGGCTGGGAGCTGGAAACATCTACCAATGCTATAGTACCAAGGAGCACTTGCTCCAAGTGCTGACATGTATGCTTAGGGCTGACAATGAGGCTATTTTCTCCAATCTCCAGAATGTGAAGTCCTGTGTTAAGGACACCTAGCCTCTGCAGCTCCTCCAGATAACTCTGGAGTGCCAATGCTCCTGCACAGTTGTAATCATACAGCACAGCTGGCTTCAGCCCCCGGGCCACAGCTAGCACCTCTCCAGCTAAGTGAAGGCAGATGGCTCTAGATGGACCCTTTCTCTTGCCCATGCCCAGGGTCTGCTGAGCAGCTGCCACCAGCAGCTGAGGACTTGGTGTTGACATGAGATCTGGAAGCAACTTCAAGCATGGCCTCCTTAGCTAGCCACAGTTCCTTTCCCCGGGTCGCATCTCAGCTCCAGACACGAGCCTAGAAACAAGGTGGGTAGCAGGGAATTAACACCAGCCTTGACATACCAGGAAACCTACTAACAACCTTCTCATTAGGTCTTACATATCCTATAGGTTATTTTGTCCGTCCAGTTTGGAAGCCGGGTTCAGGAACACTGCCCGATTTCTCTAGTTAACTTAGTCTCCCTTGGTCCCAAATTCGTGTTTTTCTGGCCTTACAGGCATATTTGTACAATTTCTCGCTTCTATTCTAAATTGTACAGGTTGCAAATCACGTTCTCTGATTGAACCCTTTAAAAGTGTAGAGCAGAGCAGTCTAACAAAATTCACTGCATTTCACCTAAAACCGCCCTTCTGGATCAGATCTCTAAATTCTAAATGAATTCTTCCCACTGCCAAGTTCCCTTTCACTTCCCTCGAAGAACACTTCTAACAACAACCTGATAAACATACACTGGAGTGCAGACTAACAACCGTCTCGCCCCAAGACATAAAAACAAATCAGCTAACACGGCAGGAGGGTTGATTTACTTCCCACTCTGCCTTCCCTTATAGTAGATACTCAAGGACCGAGAAGGTATCCCTCCAACATACCTCACATCTAAGACAGTCACTTCTCACATGAGGCCGAATTCTCCCTCACTGACTCACTGTTTCCACTTCCGCTGCCAGTTCGCGGGCTCAGGAACTCCTTCCTGTTTCCGGCGGGCTGCGGGGAAAAGCAGCTAGGCCCCAACGCCTAGCTACAGCACTGAAAATCACTCGAGGGAAAGTCGACCAACCTACGCGGCCGCAGGTGAGCGAAACTAGCCCGTTGCGCATGCGCATCCATTCCGGTTTTGTGTTCCGGTTCGGTGACGTCATTCACCGGGTTTGCTCGCATCGCGGTAGAACGCAGGCGGGGCAGCCTGGTGACGCGCCGGAAGCCTGGCCTTCTTGCGCCCCGCCCCCTCCGGCCAGATAGACTCAGCCAGCCAGTTAGTCCAGGTACGGAGAGGGCCGAAAGTGGAGGAAAAGTGAGCAGTTGGAGAAAGCGGTGTTCCTGGCGTTAGGAAGCCTCGTGGCCCACTTGTCCGGGAAGCTAGGAAGAGGGCACGCAGCTCTTAATAAACACCCTTGATTTGTGTCTGGAGAAACGTGCCTTTTCAGATGACCCATGTTTCTAAACAACTGACATTTTGCAGAATATCCGCACCTGTGGGTGGTACTTTTTTTTTTAACTTTGACATTCATAAATCCTTAAGACTTCATCCACGCTGAGCAGAGAGCTCTGCGCGAGGTGCGGAGACGTGAACTCTAAATTAGTACGTGCTAGGCGTAGTTTGAGGGTCTGGAGGTAATTGCAAAAGAGACAGAAACCCACCTTCACGGACTTGTAAGCTTTAGGAATGCTGTTTGTTAATTTCAGATGAGAAGTGGAGATAGAGATTTCTTTTTTTCCAGCTAGCTCATTAGGAAGAAAAAGTTGATTTAGGGATTAACGTCTTTTAGCTCCAGCAATTCGACCCATGAAAGAATTTTGAGAAAACGCCAGTGTCTGAGAAATGCCCAAATGTATGGGCAGCAGGATGGAGACAATGGGAACTGTGGGCACCTACACTGAAAGTTTACTCCTGCGTTGCTCCCAGGTCGGTGGTATCTGTAAACTGCAGTGTGTTGACTGTGAGCAAAGACGGGCCCAGAGCCTGCATAGGAGGAAGAAGAGTTTGTATGATCTATCAGTCTAATAGTTCTTAGCTCAGAGGGAGTCAGAGAAAGCAGAAATTAATACAACTAGCCCTCTTATTTTTAAAATTGTTTTCCTTCCCATATTTATTCATTCCCCTATGGTGGTTAGCAATAAATCCTCCAAATGGAAGACTTACATAATTGTTGGTTTATTATAACAACAATTTTTTGAAGACACACTATGTATCAGACAACATTGTAAGAACTGTGTAGCCAGTTTCCTGAAAATGAGACCTACTTACACAGGTAAGTCTTTATTTTCACAGAAATAAACAACAAAAACCAAGACAGTATTCACATTCAGCGAGTTTTATTGTCAGGGTACAGATGCTGAATGATCACGCAGACATGGTTACCCTGAACGATGTTGCTATGTAACATATAACCATGGACCTAATTACATGGAGAGACTCACCTAGATCCAAAACCCACACCCCCTGTTTATCTTCCCAGTTTACCTAAAGGAGTTCTTTTTAATATACTGGTGTTGGAGGCACAGTGAGGAAAAAGAGCTGATGACAACCTAGCACTGTTTCCAGTCTAGATTGTGGAAGCAAGGCTGAAGACGCATAGTCTTCTTGTCTTGATAACAAAGGAATTATCAAACAGAGGCTCTAAGAAAAGAACACTTGGCATCTGTCAAACCCAGAGAAAGTCACTGGAAAAGATCAAAGGGGATTCCTCTCACACATTCTTTCATCACTCTGCGGGTCAAAACAAGGAAGCAACCGAGCTACCTAGTTAAAAACCACATAAACCATTCATTCATCCAGCACATCAACTTTTCATTGCATGTGGAAAAGCTCAGTTCTTTTTGCACTTGAGAATACTATTTTCAGCATGCTATACCCACTTACTTATCTGGCTGCCTATCCAGATGGATAACCCAGGAAAGGAATCAGCCGTATTTCACATTTGCCCCCCCCAATTACCTACAATAGGGTACTTTTAACTTTGAGCTTCCAGATATCAAACATCAAGACTATTTCATTCATTCAACCAAATAAACAAAAAGTTTCTATGGCTTGCATGATTCTTGGTCTCTAAAAGCCCAACATTTAGCTGGGCATGGTGGCACACACTGGTAATCCCAGCACTCAGATTAAGGCAAGATGATCAGTGCAAGTTCGAGGTCAGCATGGGCTACATAGTAAGCTGAAATCCAACCTAAACTACGTAATGAAACCGTGTCTCAAAACAAAAACAGCCTTTCCAGTGGTAACAGCCTCCCTATGAGAATATGCCTCCCGCAGAAGATCTCCTTCATCTCTCTCCTACTTCATGGACGTGAAGTGCCCAGGATGCTATAAAAGTACCATGATTTTTAGCCATGCACACACAGTAATTCTGTGTGCTGCCTGCTCTGCTATCCTGCCAGCCTACAGGAGGAAAAGCAAGACCCACAGAAGGAGGTTCCTTCAGGAGAAAGCAGCACTAACAGTATCCTGAATCAAGATGAATGGGAAGCCATCATCCCAATAAATACATTATGGATGTAATAAATAAATAAAATCCCAACATTTCTTTAAAGCTGAACATTTTTTTACCCAGATTTCTTTTGATTGTACTTTAAAAAAATTTTTTTTTAATTTTTATTAGTACATGTTTTCAGTAATGATTTCATTCATCATGGGGAGTTGGTACATGTACATATCACGTCTTAATTGTTTTGACGTCCCTTTTTGCAAAAGGTCTGTTACCTGTTTCCTATTTATCTTCTATTTTGTTCTATGTTTATACTTTAAATTTCTCATATAAATCATGTACTATTTAAGCTTATGGTTTTAAGGTGCATCCATTTATCTACAAGTAACTCCTTTTGGGCTGGGAATTTAGGTCAGTGGCATAAGTGCCTGCCTGGCAAGCTCAAGGTCATGAGTTCAATCCCCAGTATCAAAAAAAAAAAAAAAATCCTTTCATTTGATGGACATATACACTAATTTCAAGATCTAGCTGTTGTACTGCTATAAACATGGGTATGCATGTACCACTGTAAGGTCTTTAACTCTCAGGAAGATACTTAGGAGGGAAATAGCTGGATCAAATGGAATTTCTGCTTTTAATTTGAGAAATCTTCATATTGATTTCCATAATGGTTACACTAGTTTATATTCCCACTAGCAGTAGTTCATTTCCCCTACTGCCTCAACAGTATTTGTTACTTGACTTTTTTGATTATAAACATTCTTTCTGGAGTAAGGTGGGATTTCAGTGCTGTTTTTAATCTGCATTCCTCAACTGGCCAGTGATGTTGAACATTTTTATTTTCATTTATTATTGCCTGTTTGCACTGTGGAGAAGTGTTTATTTTTTGATTGGGTCTTATGGGGGGGCTCTAATTGTTTTTTTTTTTTTTTTTAGTTTTTTACTTGTTTACTTTTGACAAGCTCTATGTACTTCAGGCTAGGTTTGTTTTTATATTTTGTATGTTTCTTTTAGTTTTATTAAAGAGGTTCTGCAGAGTGTGTTGGGGACAAGTAAAGAATGAAAAAGAAGCACAGCCTCTTCCTGTGTAAGGAGGAGCACTGTCCATGTAAGAGAGAACATAGTTGTCCAGGCTGGCCTCAGACTCACAGTGATCCTCCTCCTGCTTCAGCTCCCAAATGCTGCAATTACGGGCAGATACCACTATGCCCTGCCAACCCCCCTCCTTCCCCCCGAGAGAGGGTCTCTCTCTGAAGTTCAAACTAACCTTGAACTCACTGTGTAGTCCAGGCTGGTCTCAAACCTGCAACAATCCTGCCTCAGCCTTCTGAAGACTGGAATTACAGCTGTGCACCCATGCCTAGCTACGCCTAGTCTTTGAATTCTTTATATATTCTAGATATTAGTCCTCTAAGCTGACAAAACTTTCCCCATTCTGCAGGTTATCTCTTTGCCCTGTTGGTTGTTTCTTTTGCTGTGCAGAAGCTTTTTAATTTGATATAATTCCATTTGTTGATTTTTGATGTTATTTCTTATGCAACTATGGTTCTGTTCAGAGAAAGTCCTTGCTTATCCATATGTCTTGAAGAGTCTTACTGTACCTATTTTATCTTCCAGCAGGCTCTGTCTTAATAGTTAAATCTTTGACCCAGTTTGATTTTAGCTGAGTACCTGGTGAGAGATATGAGTGTAGATTCAGTCTTCTGCATGCTTGTGCTTTCATAATAGCAGATCCCGCCAGTTCTTTTACCAGTCCCTAAAACCTATTTTAAATAAATAAGTCCCATTGTCGCATTTGATTGGTTGAGCTTTTATTTTTAGAGAAAGCTAGCCCTACCTTGTCGTTTGAAAAGCAGGTGGTTGGTGAGAGTTCCAGCATACACTTGACTTCATCTGAGGACCTGACAGACATCCGTGTTCATGAGGGGTAGGTCCCATAATCAGAGAGCAACATCTTATTTTCAATTTTGGTCTCAGGAGTTTAAGTTACCTATAACTTCATTAGCCAGGGAGCAGTTAGGAGTTGAGAAAGTTACAGAATCAGACTGTCACCTCCACAGCTGCAGCCAGACCCCGTCCTTGGGTACAAAAGGTTTCTGGGGGGCATCTTTTCCAGCCCCCATCCCACCCACCATCACCCTAACACACTCAATTTCATACTTCAAAAACAGAAAGACTCCTACAAGTCTCCAAACCAAAAACTGTCCTTTTTGTAGTCAGAGGAGTGTATTCTACATGCCCCACTCACTTCCAGGCCTTCCTTAGGGAAAATGAAAAAAAAAGGGAGTACATGACTCTGAAGTCCCCACTGGTCCAGGTGCTCGCCAACCCTGCACCCACAAGGTGGTATATGAGTGACAACAAGGTAGAATCCAACAACCACTCTTTCGCACAATCCCTGGTCTCTCTGTGTCACTAGTGTCCCTTTAGAAGCTCAGTTTACCAGCTTTCTACTCCACAGGTCAGGTGACTTTCAGACTTTGGCACCTATTTCTATTTAGATACCAAGCTTGGTTCCTAGGCAACCAGTCAGTTTCTCTCTCTCTGACTTCCCCCATCAAGGAGCCAGTTTACTGTACTAGCAGAACAGGTCAAACAAAGCTCAATTCTGGACAAATTAGGCTTCAGGGAACTTTAATGAAAGCAAGAAAAAAATTGGTACAAGAACAATGCAAAAAGGTTCTGTTCCAGGCAGTTTGGGAACAAAATAGGATGAAATAATCAAATCAGGTTATAAAACTGAATGAAATTTGGGCATTATTCCAGTTTTTATTTATTTACAAAAGTAACAAGGTTAAAATCCAGAAGTTAAATGACTTACTAATGTTATGGTGGAAGAAAAGCTATAGCAAGTACCCTGGTGTCCAAACTGCCAAGCCTAATTTCCTTTTACTACATCTAACTACCATCAAGTTTTTAAAATACAGGGAGGCTAGAGATTTAGCTCAGTGGCACAGTACCTGCCTGGCAAGCCTGAGGTTCTGAATTCAATTTCTAGTGCCCCCACCCCCAAAACAGAAAAAGATACAGAGTGTGGAGGCACACACCTGTAATCCCAGCACTTGACAGGCTGAGGGAAGAGGATCATAGAGTTCTAGGCCAGGCTGGGCTACATAGTGAGTTCAAGGCCAGCCCGAACTGCACAACAAGAACCTGTCTCAAAAAAGAAAAAGGAAGAGAAAGGAAAATTATGGTAATTTTCCATAAATTAAATCAACTTTAAAAGCTAGGCACATTTGGAGTTACAGTCTTCTAACATTGTTACAGGAAAGAGATTTAAAACCTGGTTCAATCTGAAAAAAAGTTCCTATGTACAATATGGGGACAAGAGGAGGGTGGGGAAGGAAGGCATTTGTGATCACTGGGTAGGCAGGGCAGGAGGCAGTTGCATGTTGGGTGTGGGCTGCATGGGCTGCCAGCTTTCCTGAGTTTGGAGGATGCGGTACAGCTGCTTCAGCTGCGTGACAATGTTATCTTTGATGTCTGGAGTTGAGATCTGCAGGCGGACACTGCCACTGTCAAAGGAGCGTGTGAAATCGCCAGAAAACATCTCAAAAATCATCCGAGCCACCACGGGAACAACCTGTTGATGACACAGGCATATGAGTATCCATTGAGGGAAAAGTAGTTTTAGACAGCAGGAGAGGCCCAAGAGTGAAAGAACCAGTGATGGTCTGGGAAAGCCCCACTGTAATGTTTACATACATCTTTCTCTCTTCAGATCATCCTGCCAATGTTCACTCCAGAAGTGGCTCAACTGAATGCAAAGAATCTAGATATAGCATCACACATTCCTAAATAAATGACTGCTCACTAGCTGAGACTTTTAACAAGTGTCAGTTTTGCCTGCTCCATTGCACAACTCTTGAGATCCAACCCCTTGCTGCCATCCCTAGAATAGGGTTACATTCTTGAAAGCAACTCAGTTTTTCTAAGAAAGGCTAGAGTCATATCTTGTAAAGTTTGAACAAGACTCTATAAAGTCAGTAAGACAGTGGAAATCACTACTAAATCAGCCACCCATTTGAAAGACCTCACAATTCTCTAGCTTGGTCTTACTGTACAAAACTTGAGCCTGCTACCTCAGCTGATAGGACTAACATTCATACAGACTGATGGATGCTCAGTCAGGACTCAACCTGACCTGGGGCTAAAGCACTGACAAAAAGAGTTATTAACACATCCTTACTCCTTACCTGAACCAAGATGAGCTTTCTTTCCAAGGGCTTCCCATCTGGCCATTCTTCTCCAAAGCATAAGTAGATCTCAAATGGTGGCTGCTTCTCTATCTGTCCTTTCTGATGTGCAATGAGGTCTGCAGAAAGTAGAAGAGTAAGTTTGGTATCATGGATTTCATGTCCTCTGGTAAATACTATTTTACATACTGCCCGATACAATCATCACTTGTGTCTCTTAATTTTAAATTAATTAAATAAGTACTTGATTGGATCAGTCATACCTGCCCAATAGCCACATGTAGCTAGGAGCTACCATACTGAACAACATTAATATAGAACATACCCATCATTTCTGGAAAATAAGATTGTTGTAAACTTGAAGTTCAAACCATGTTGTGAAATCCAAATTCAATGCTCTCCCTAAAACTGTCTGCTTAAATTCACCATTCAAATAGCACCCAGAAGAAAAAGGACATGCTTTGCCAAATATGATATCTCTCCTTCCAAGTTAAAGATAAGCTGATAATATACAAGGGTAATTATAAAACTATCCAATCTTCTGCCACTGAAGGAACAACAACCAACAAAATAGCTCCTCCCTTCTTCTTTGCCTAAGTTGCTTTCATTTCTTAGAACCAAAGTTCTCAGCTCCCTTGATCTCTTCCAAGAGAAATTTTGTGCCTAAGGTTTTTGCTGAGCCAAGAAAGGAAGGAGGTACTAGAGAGGGATAGAGAAAGATAAACTTCCAGAAAGCCATTCCATTGTCAATCTTACAATAAAAAACTCACCACTCAGGAATGTTTCTAGACAAAAGAGCTTGACCTTCTTTTGTCTCTCAATCAGGTTGGGGGCAACAAGTGATGGGGCGCATGGCCCAGACCAGTACACCTTGCACTGACACAGCCTGATGGCATAAATGGCATGACCGCTGACCTCCAGGATCAGTCCTCTGTCCATGACATCCAATAGCTTGCTGGTAAACAGCTTCTGCTTTTCATTGGTGATGTGCTCTGGCCCTGGGAATTTGACCTGCTCCAGGCTAACGGGACCAAAGAGCTCCTCCTGATCAGGCATGGGACCCAGGTCCCCATAGAAGAGCCGGCAGCCCTGGGGGTTGCTCACAGTCATGGTCTGCCCATACTCCTTCCCACGGTACTGAAACTTGATGTCCAGGTCAGTCACTACAAGGTGAGAGATCACAGTGAGAATTCTGCATCCCTAAGATTCATGCAAGTGCATCGGGATCAAGCCACCACTCAGCTGGCACTCTGGAAGGCCATAGTTATTCTTCCTGCAATAAAAGGAGGCATCAACGTACCCTAGAAGAATCACACAAAAAGTTGCCTCCAAGCAAAAGTAAGGCCCTTCAATACCATCTCGGTTCTATCCTAAGGGGTAGAACTTCATCAGGCAAAGAACTGGATCCTGGTGTTCCCTGCCATACTGACTGAATCTCTGTGTCAACAGGAATTAGAAGGAGCTAGACACTAAAGTAACTAACCCTAGTCTGCATCTCATTTTTGGTTGTTATTTCAAAGAACTAGAGGAATAAGAATTATTGTGAAGTCATCTTTCTGAAAGTCACAGCACATGTGTTCCATCAGTATAGCATGTGTAGCATGAGGAGACTGTGACGTTGATACTTCATTAAGGTAAGTATATGCCAAGCTCAACAAGAAGCCCTAGCGTTCCTCAAAATCAAGAGCCTCCTTAGCAAAATCTGTGGTCTTCAAACTCCCTGTCCCACAGCTGGCCTTGTCACTAAGTCCTTAGCTAGACTGAGCCCCAGGCCTCTTGCCTACTGAAGGGGTGAGTAACATGAAGTCCTAGCCAGTCAGAGCAGCCCCTGGGCAAACACGTACAGGTGATGCTGTCCTACTCCTGGTGACTCATCCAACAGCCAGGAAGCGGCCAGGGTGGGGGGAGGTACAGACAGGTAACTTTCTATACACAGCAAAGTAAGAGAGGTGGCATAATAGGAAGGCACTGGAATAGGAAATGAAACCCAGCCAGAAAGTCAAGGCTCACTTACTTGGCAAAGAGCTGATCCACAGCTCCGGAGAGCTATAGAAGGGCTGGATGGGTGCCTGAGGCACTTCCATCTCCAGAGGTTCTGTTTTGGGCCACACAGCTTCAGGGCTGCAGTTGCCCACGCTGCAGTTGCCCACACTGGCTGGTGCCATCGGAGACCCTAGAACACAAGCATGAGAATGAGTGCGCAGGGTACCCGCATGTGTACATCACCTATCTGAAGTCAAACACGGAAACAAGACCCCACACAATCGCCCACCAATGATCCTCATAACGCCCAGTGGTTCCCCTGCTTTTGCTTCTTAATCATATTATTTTATTCATAAGCTCATAGCTCTCAAACCTTGTTTTCTAAAGATGAACATAGAGACAGCTGAGCTTTCTCTAGGAGTTACATTAGAAAGGCACAAAAAGAGACCCATCACTATGAAAATTGGCCCCAGCAACTGAATAGGAGCTGGTAGCCATTCGTGAAGTGAGTGCCGCTGAATTAACTAATTTTCTCATCTAGGTATGAATGTGTAGGAAGTCTATTAAAACAACTGTTATTTGAGTCATTTGTAGGAAAATGGGTATACCTTGAGACCATAATATTAAGTAAAATAAACCAGACACACAAGCTTAAAAATCTCATGGTTCCTTTTACATGAAAAACCCAGAGTATAGATAAAAGAGCAAAATAAAAGGTAACAGGAAACGATGGCAGATGTTTTGCAAAAGGGAAGGGGACCAAGAGGGAGGAGAGAGGGGAGAAGGGGTGAAAAAAGAATTAAAGTGTTTTACATATGTGTACCGACTCCACAAAGAACATAACTATTATGTACTGCAAACATGTACTAATAAAATGTATATAAAAATAAAAGCAGCACTTCCCTACAAAAACAAATAAATAAGGTAAGTGGCACTTTGGACCTTGGTCACCCTTCTGATTTATCATGAGACTAGATTATATGACTTCCAAGGCTTCACATAGATCTCAACATTTAGCATTTGTATTTCAGTTATTTTTCTAATAATAATTCTTGAAATTTACCTTCCTAAAATTTCTCGATGTATTTAGTGATAAACTAGTATGTGCTAACTGTACTGAGTTTGGTAATGATGGTTGGGGAGGAAGGGGGAAACAGACTCAAAAATGTACATTCCAGTAGCACAAATAAAATTTTTCTCTGGCTAGGTGCGATGGCACATGCCTGTAATGCCAGCAATCCTATCACTGCAAGTTTGAGGCCAACCTAGACTACAAAGTAAATTCAAGGCCAGCCTGAACTACATAGCAGGACCCTGTCTCAAAAACCAAAAAGACAAAAAAAATTCTTTTTTCCTGTGTTGCATAGTCTTTCTTGCAGTTATAAAAACAATGTAAGCTAGGTGTGGTGATACACACTTGTAATCCCAGCACTTGGGAGGCTGAGACAGGAGGATCACTCTGAGTTTGAGGCCAGCCTGAACTACATAGTGAGACCTTGTCTCAAAAAAATTAAAAACAATATAATAGGGAATCATAAATATTCATTAAAAATAAAATTATAGGAATTAATAAATCATTAAAATACATTTACAGGCATAAAGTGTATGGAAGGTACTCAAGATCCTAGGAAGATCTGTCTCTGAGGCAAGAACTGGAAGATTCAGAGACAGGATGGCAAGAAAAACCTTTCTACTGATTTCTTTCTCCTACCATTATGATTTTTTTTTTAGAGATAGGTCTCAATATTTAGCTCAGGCTGGCTTTGAACTCACTGTGTAGTCCAGGCTGACATCAAATTTGTGGCGGTCCTCCTGCCTCAGCCTCCAGAGTGCTGGGATTACAGGTGTGTACCATCATGCCTGGCTCCATTATGACTTTTAAACCATATCAAAGTATTAATCATTCAAAAGTATTCAATTAAAGTACCTTGAAAACCAGTGAAAATCCTAATCCTACTTCCCTGCTCCTGTAAGTTTACTTGATCCAGAGCCTACAGACCTGTCCTCCTAGTCGCATCCCTCAGGTATCTATTTTTCATTATTTGTTTTTCTTCTGCTCCAATGGCACTGAAGTCCCAGAAGTTAATGTTTCTTTGACCCTTTGGGTTCAAGCCCAGTTAAATCTATATATGCATTTTACACTTTTGTCTTTATCCTACATTCCTCAGTTTGCCACGAAGGATCCAAGGCAGCCCAAAACATAAGGACATACATGACCTTTCAAGGAGTAAGAATAGAAGAGTAAGTCAGCCAAGAATTTGGGAAAGGATCTTCCGTTTCCAGATGTGCAACTCTTAAAATGTCACTTGGTGGGATACAGCATGTAGCAATATTGACCTCCAAGATCTACATGAAATCACTTAGTAACGAAGATGTAGGTGCAGGGTATAAAGATGGTCAGTAGACAGATAATAAGGGCAATTTCCTGATTCTCAAGTTTAGGATCTCTCCTACAGCAGGGTCCCCCCAAATCCTAAAGAAAGCATCCTGATGAATGAGGTCTTCTAAGCCGCACAAGTTATCTCACAGTTCCCAGATGATACTAAAAAGACAAAGAGGTTATGTCCTGGAGGCAGCTCATTTGACTATTATCTCAGGGACAGGCATATGATGATGACACAGAAGAGCGAGTCAACTTGTATTTGAAAAGTAATCAGAGTGTGCAGCAGGAGACCAGGTATCTGCTTCTACACAGTGGCCTTCTAACCTCTCAGTTCATCCCTCATGGAAAGCTGAAGCCAAAGGTCCATGAAAGAAGTTTTTCAACGCTAAATGCTATCAGAGCCTAGCATTAGTGGCTACAGAAATCACAACTTTCTCATCATCCAGCCTAAGTAGAGTGGTCCCTGTTAAAGAAGCAACAAGGAATTTGTACCAAGGGAAATACTGGAAGTTTGCCTATAATTCAAAAAATGACACTGAAAGAAAGTGGGAGAATTTAATGACCACTGATATATTTATATGTGGGACTTGGAATGAGTTTAAATTTACTTTTTAAAGTTAAACATTCTCAGCTAGGCATGGTGGCTTATGCCTGTAATCCAGCACTCAGGAGACTGAGGCAGAGGGTCACTGTAAGCTTGAGGCTAGTCTGGGATTCATAGGGAGACCCTGTCTCAAAAAAAAAAAAAAAAAAAAAAAAAAAAAAGGAAATAAATAAACAAAAATAAAATTAGATATTCTCCAGAATCCTAAAACCCACCTCACTACACTGTAATAACCAAGTCAGCAAATACCCCTCACCTGTGACTCCTCATTCCTAACAGACCAGCAGTCTGGCCACAGGGTTCAACTCCCAGGGCAGAAGTAGCTGAGAGGGCAAGCAGTTCTGAGATCAAAACCCCTCACCCCTGTGTGCTGCCCACTACCCACTCACCATTGATATTCAGGAAGGGGAAGGTGTCTTGGATGGGAACATGGTGCTGCGACTGATCGAGTTCATCTTCCTCGTCTTCTTCATCCACATCATTATCCTTCTCATCCCATGGAGCAGACCCTGTGGACCCTATGCCAGACACAAGCCCATATGTGAGCAGCTGAAGTGTGCAGTCCTCATTGCAGCTGACCACGCCCCACTATCACAGAGGTTCCTTGGGGTCAGGCTGCACCCTCCAAGCTCTCACAAAAAAAAGTAGGAATTCAGAGTATATTCACTCCTAGCTCCAAATCCCCCTAACGAGTCCTGACGCCCACTCTTCTTCTGCCAATGCAAGCTCCACTTCCTTCTAGAAATCCCCACAATTAGCATAGCTAGTGTAGCTAGTGTAGCATCTTGTGTAGCAGTATCTCTTTTTGGAGTTGCTGACACCAGCTTTTCACCTTTGGGTGCTTAATATGAAGCATGATGCCTGCCTCATGGCAGAGCCTCATTGGATTCACTGGACTATGGGTCTCAATTCTCTGGCTCTTAGGATTCACTCAGCATTGATGAGTACACAGGAGGATCGGGTGGTATTCTCTCAGCAAAAGAGTGATCACTCATTCAACATTTCCAAAGCACTTCATAGCTTTTACAGATCATGTTCATTGATTCTAACAACAGCTTTTGAAACAGGCAGGAAAGATGAGATCCCACATTTTAGAATTGAAGAAACAGGCCCAGGAGGCCCAGTGACTTGGTTCAAATCCCACAAGTAAAGAGAGAGGAGCCACTTTAGACAGCTAATTCATCCTTCAAAGCCACCAACCCTTAAGTCCAGGAGAGGTTATTGTTACAGCAGAACTCCAGACTTTACTTTCTCATGCTTTAAGTAATCCAGGTAAAAATTATTCTTCTAAAGGAGCAACTCTGTGCTGAGTTTACATCAGGTACTCTCTGAGTCCCAGGCAAATGCTTTCTTATTTTACCAGTCTTGAACTTTGAAACACAGGCTGTTTCCAACATTACTATCTCTTTAAGTGCCCAGCCCAGAGTCTGGCATATGGCCCACTCTCTCCCCATGCTGGGGCCTCACCTGGGTTAATGATCGAGCCCTGGGGCTGGGGGATGTCGCACACTTGGTAAATCTTCACAGGGTTCATGGGCACCTCCTTGGTGCCATCATACATCAGGTTGAATTCCCTGCTTTTGTTGAGAGCACAGCGGAGCTGAGCCTTCCATTTCGCTGGGTCAGGGTCATCCACCCCTTCCTGGTACTTTCCCGTCTCTACAGCCCAGGCCTGAGGAACAGGAAACCATAGTGAGTGCCTACTGCTGCCCAGGACCATCCTAAAGCATGTGCCCACCCCTCTGCATCAGACACACCTGCACCCCTATAAGTGCCCCAGTCTTCACCCAACAAGCAGACAGTGCAGCAGGCAAGGCTGCCTCCAGACAAGGCAGGCAGGGCCAAAGGGAAGTTAAGCTGTGTGCAAACACAGTCCCTTGGAAGGAGGAGCCTTATCTCCAGCCTTCCTGCCAGAACCTGTCAAGGCAGCAAAGCTACACTAAAGGCTTGAAAGGAAAGTTTGGAGCTAGTATGTGTCACACGCTCTTGGACAGCAGGATTTCAGGAAGTCTTTTTCTTTCTTTTATTGTTTTTGATATGAGTTGCTTATTCAACAATAAATATTACAAAGGGAGATGGCACATGATATAGAGTTTGGCCCACTGGTCTTTTGCCTGACATCTTCAGTATGTCACACATAGAACTGTAGAGACCCAGTGCGTTCAGGAAGACAGAAGCTAGGCATGTTGGTACATGCATGTGATCCCAGCACTCAGAAGGCTGAGGCAAGAAGATTGCTGCTTGGAGGCCAACCTGGGGCTACACAGTGAGTTCAAGGCCAGCCTGGACTACATAGCAAGAGCCTGGCTAAAAAAACAACAACAAGGAAGATGACATCCAGCCTTACCCCCTGGCGGAGAGCCTCAGGTTCTGTTAAATCCTGCTCCCCTCGCTTTTCCAATTCCTCAAACTCTTACTTCATTGGAAACGCCTGCTATCAGCCACATGAGTGATCAATGGCACGGTCTACAACCACTTAACTCCTCCTTGGTTCCCAGATATGGAAATTCATAGTACTGTCTCCACACAAGGGGAATAAGCAACCTCCCCGGCTGGGGTAAAGTAAAACCAGGCTGTTCGTGCTGTAGGCCATGTTTCCCAGGGACAGAGCAGGGAGTAGAAAACCTGGGCCACTTTCAGGTCTAAGAGGCGTTTATAATTAACATGATGTGGAGCCTGAGATGTAGCTCAGTGGCACAAGCACCTGTCTGGCAAGTACAAAGTCCTGAATTCGAGTCTCTGTATGAAAAAAAATTAATATGGAGTGATCAAAGAAATATAGTGAGTTTAGTTTTTCCAATATATTACAAAAAAAGACACACTGACATTAATTTCCCCTCAAAATATGCTCCCCTAATTTGAATACATTTACCCTACCATTCTTGCCACTTTCTGAAGCAATTCTGGAAGTCCTCTTTCCTGAGCGTCTTTAGTGACATGGTTTGGGCTAACTCAGTGTTCTGAACCAATTCAAAACCTTACCCATTCACATTCATTTTAACTTCAGAAAAAAAGCCAGCATCTGCTTAGTACCAGATCCAGTGACTAAATTAAATGAGGACACACCTTAGTGTTTTTACAAGCCTGTTTTTCCATTAGATGGTACTCAGCAGCATTGGTCACTGTACTTTTTATCAAAAGTACTTGTAAAGATGCTCAAGCAACAGACTTTCTGAACTGCTTCAGAAAGTACTTGTAAAGATGCTCAAGCAACAGACTTTCTGAACTGCTTCAGAAAGTGGCAAGAATGATGGGGTAAGAGTGGACAAACCAAGGGAATGTATTTATGGAGGATTAATGGCAATGTAACTTGTACTGTTAAAAAAAAAAGATTTAAGTATTTATTTATTTTTGCAACTGGGAACCGAACTTATGACCTCATGCTTGCCAGGGAGGTTCTGTGCCACTGAGCTATATCCCTCGCCCCCCCCAAAAAAGTTTTTAAATTTAAACATTTTTCATATCTTTTGATCATGCCTTGTATGTTTCTACTCACAGGATGCCAACCCTCTCTGGCTGTTAACATACTTCTGGATCACTAAGCATTCCTCTGGAGTATGACACATTAAATACAGAAAAAGTAGATGTGACTATAGAAAATTCAAGCAGAAAGCACACACTTTTTAAAAAAGTTGACAGAGCATACCAGTAGTCCAAATCCAGCTCCCTGTTGCTGGTTCTGTCCAGACTTCTTCCTCAAGTTGAAATTCAATCTCTCTGCCCTATTCTTTGAGGCCACTCCCCTCTGCAGAGCCTTGCCGTCATGAGGAGGTTCTTTGTAGAGCTGATCCAGTCCTCTACCTCCTCCAAATCAGACTCACTTCCTTCTACCATATCCTAGATTGGGGGTCCTCCATGTGCTTTGTGGTATGGAACGAAGAATTAAGCCATGCTGCCCTAAGTGGCTTGGCAGGCTTGAGGGAACCTAACTTCTGCCACTGCAACTGACAGCAGGGTTCGGGCTCCAGGGGTCCCTCATGTCTGGGATGCTTCCATTCTCTGTTCATGAACTCTGGCCTATGCAATTTGAGCTGTGCAAATTTTGGCAGAGATTTTACAATTTCCAGAACCCTGCTTCTCTGTAGAGAGAGGCCAGATGAATGCAGGATCAGTTTCCTGCTAACCACTCAGCATTCCCCCGGCCACTCAGATGCTGCAAAGGACCTAGGGCTGGTGCTGCAGAGGGGCCACCCTCAGGCTCAAGGAAGGATGCTGGCAAGGTACCACATGGCAAACCACCATAGCTTAGGAATGTTTCCCACTCAAAGCCAACCTGAGCCTTGTTTCAGAGACTCTGCTCACTGTGCAGGTCCTTATTTCTGTTTCAAAAATGGAGCAATCTCTGCCTTTTTATGGTGCTTTACAAGTCCCTTCTTACACTGGATTACACTTCTCATAATAATTCTAGGAAGCAGGCAAAATGGGTTTCATCCCCAGTTTACTAACTGGAAAACTGCAGTGTGGAGAGGTTGGCATGCCTTGTTCAGGATCATACATGTCAGCGGTGGCACGACTTGAGGCCACACAATCCATCTCCTGGTCAGAGCCAGAACAGGCAGTACAGTGGCGAGCAGCAGAGCAGGGGTCCAAAAAGACATGAATTGAAATCCTAGCCCCACCATTTACTGGCTGTGTGATTTGTGATGAGTCTTGGTTTCATGTACAAGGTGAGAGGGACACCTCTCTTATAGGGTCACCATAAGAATTCAATGAGAATTCAATGACATCGTGGGTTATAGGCCTCCATTGCTTGTTAGTGCCTCAACAACACATTTTGCCTAAGAATCCTAGAACATAGACCTGCAAGAACATTCTTACCATTCTCTTGACCTCCTCAGGCCCTCCTTAGCATTCTACTAATAGATATAGTGATTAAAATAAAACAAAGCAGCCTTCCTGAAGTTTACCTCAAGTTCCCAGCAAGCATGCTTATTGGGGTGGGGGGGTGCTTTCAGGAAACCTCCTCCTCTGCACAGCCATCCAGGCTAGCAGCAAATCCCATCCCAGACCAAGGCCCCCCATCTGCTCAACACCAACTCCAAAACCTGGGTTACACACTTACCATAATGCTTGTATTATTTATATCTAAATTAAGAGCACCCATTCACATTTTTTAAAGTACCCACAGGTCGACTTTCTCTATCCCTGCTCTTCACACCTGATGTAACTGAGTGAGGTGTGGAACACTTCTAGATGCCTCCCCTTGAGCCCTTTCCTAGTCCTACTGCAGCAAGAACCTGGGGCATCAATCTTGAGAGGCCCATAGTCATGACTGGATTGTATTTCCACCTTTCAGCTTATCATCAGGGAAAAAAAGGACAAGCTCACTTTGCTGTATCCTGACGGTGCAAGAATAAAGGCATTCCTACGATGGAAGAGACTCATGGGAAGAAGTTGGTCAGGAGTGGAGGCAGCTCCTGGAATTATAGCCATGCAGATGGAACCCCCACCCGCATCAACTGCCCATCCATTTGTCTGAAGTCAAGCTTTAATTCACTTAAATTTTGTAAGATGCTATGTAATTAAATCTTATTTTTAGCCAATAAAGTGACTATAACATCAGAGCTGTATTCTATTTAGAAAACATAATTTGGGCTGGGATGTAGTATAGTGGTAGTGTTTACTTTACAAGTATAAGGCCCTGGGTTTAGTGCTAGTGCCACAAAAAGAAGGAAGGAAAAAAAGTTAGCATAGTGCTAGTACCTGTAATTCTAGGACTCTGGGAGGCTGAGTCAAAAGGATCACAAATTCAAGTCCAACCTAGGCCAATTACCAAGACCCTGTCGTGGGGGGTGGGGAGGAAGCTAATAGGAAAAGAAAAGAAAGAAGCATACACTAAAGAAAAATAAATCAATAAATAATTGTATAAAAGAACCAAGTTTGGTGCAAAGACCCTGGATTCAATCCCCAGTACAAAGGAAAGGAAAAACAGAAAAGAAAGAAAACATACTTTAAAAATTAAAAGTCTATACTTAAATCACCTTTAATTTTTAAGCAGAGTTTATAAATAAGGCAGAATAGTTTACTATCATAAGAATGACCTGCTGTAGGCCCTCTGCGTCCCTCTCCCAGGCGATGCCAGGAGCCTACTAACACTCTCTGGTTCCGCCTTGGTCTGTGTGGCCATCCTTGGACCATACACCGTCCTTGAGGCAAGAGTCCTGAGTGAAGGAGTGAAGAGGAATCATGAAGGCCAACCCTTGATAGGCTGGCAACAACACATTACCGCAACCACGTGCAGTTTAGTTGACTCCAGATCAGACCCTCAGGGACATAAACTGAGGCTCTCCAACCAGTGGGAAGCAGAGAGCTTCAGCCATTATAGAAGAGAAATTACTGTACCGCCCGCACCTGCTAAGTCAGGGCACTCCCATCCTAAACATTCCATTTCATCAAAGTTTTGGATTTACTATATTCCCTGTGCTAAAACAGACATAGCAAACAAACCCAGAAAGATCTGAGAAAACTTGGAAAAATTTCAACTCAGAAGGTAGAAAGTCCTTTACCTTAAAAATGGTGTTTTCCTCCTCCTGCTGGGGGCTATGCCGGGTGGCATGTTTCCAGGGTATCTGGAAGCGTTTAGAGTCTCGATGTAGCCAGATGAGCCCAGGGTAGAGACCGCTATCCACTTGGGCCACCAGCCAGGGCTTCAGCCGGACTCTGCGGGGGTGGAGGGCCATGGCTGGGGGCAGGGGCTGAGAAGTGGGCAGAGCAAGAGAATTAGGCCAGCCCCTGGGAACTTGTCCCAGCCCCTGTTCCCATACGCTAGAGCTACAGTTTCACTAGATTACAGCAAAGAAACTAAATATGAGAATAAACCATGCCAAATGGGAAAGAAAAGAAAAGGGGTTAAAAGGTTCTTTTGATTCTTATTCCAAAGCCATTTATACTTCGTGCTCTAGCCAAATCAGACTTATCATGCAGGTAGATCGCGTTTCTTCTATTTCAGTGCTGAAGCAGGAAAATAAAAAGGTGATGTCATCCCCATTGGAATGGCCCTTCCTGAAGCAGCAAAGGCTTTGGAAGAGAAGGTGAGGGCCCCTTTCTGCCTCACCTCAGAGAGGGAAGGCAAGAGTTGTACAAACAGCAAGTATCTGTAAGAAGCTGAAGCAGGCTGTCCTTTCAGACAGGGAAACTGAAAGCAAGAGGGAATGTTTGCTAGGAACGTCAGGTTCTGGGTTCCAAAGTCCTTGCTTACCTGGGGGAGCAGGCAGTTTGTCCACAGAGAGCCGAGTGGCGGGGCCGAATCTACTTTCCACTGGAAGACTCTACAACAAGAAAGAGGGTTTCAGCTGGTGACAACAGAACAGCCCAAGGTCTAGAAGGCTGGACCATGGCTCTGGCAGTGCTTTCCAGCTGCTCAGTCTGGTACAGCACAAAAAGCCTGCAATAATCTAGCTTTGGAGTCCTTACTACTCTCATACGTCAAGCCCTCCTGGTTAGGCCGGCCCCTCACTTGGGTCTGTTTATCAGCCCACACTGGCTGTGTGTGAGTGGACTGATTGGTTACAGGTCCCAGCCGGGGTAAAGTCTGCGATTGATTCTCATAAGACTACATGGGCAAAGCAGATAACAGTCAATAGGAGCGGGTGCACACAGCCCAAAACAAAGGCCTGCCCAGATTAGACGCCTACAGGAAATGGCAAGCACCATAGAACTGTTTACCTGGGACATTGTCTTTGGATTCTTGCATGTTCTTACTTTGTTTTATTTGCAATAGGATGCCTTGGAAATTAAAAGTCATCTGACAAGTATTTGTTCTCCAACTTCCATATGCCATTCACTGAATGACAAAGGTCAGTATTTTCTTTTTTTTTTAATTGGTACCGGGGATTGAACTGACAACCGCACACTTGCAAGAGAGGCGCTTAAGCCGCTGAGCTAAATCTCCAGCCCCCAGAAGCTCAGTATTTTCATCTGATGTCTCTTGTTGAGGAAAACCAGCCTGGGACTGCTCAAATCCCACACAGCAGTTACCGTCATACCAGAAAGAGCCTCACTTGAATCACAGCTCTGAAACCAAACCAGTCAAGTCAGCGCAAGGCTGCCACACAGAGCAGCTCGTCCCAGGGTGGCCCCTAATGTCACCTCTCTATCTCTCTCCCCTGCCAGACACAAAACAACAAACAGGAAGAAACCAAGCCCAACTCAGCCACTGGCACTTTAAGAGCAAGGCAGGAACTGCTCTTACCTGAGCCTTCTGACCCAATTATCAGGTCCTGCAACTGAAACCTCCCCCTTAGGATCTGGGCTCTCAGGGAGCTGTGCTAGCCATGCAGGTTGCCACTGCCCCACTTCTGCACCTTGCTCAGGAGTTTTTAGGGGTATCATGTGAATCCAAGAAACTACAGAGTTTCTGTGCACTCTAGGAGAAGAGAATACATATTCTCCTGAGGGCAAGTTCTATCTTCACCCCGCCCTAACCCTGGAAGGGGGATGGGGCGAGGGAAGAAGAAAATGGGGAAGCAGACTGCAACTGATCACCCTAGTAAGAGATCTATAGAATGTCTATGGCAATACTGATAAATCCTGCTGTGCCTGGTCCTATCAGACACACGACATGCACATCTTGACTGATCAGGAATCTGGAGCGATCTGCAGCACATCGAGAAAAAACTGAGGCAGCCAGTCCACAATACATAGCTGCACTAGTGATGAAGAAGGAGCAGCCACCCACAGAGATCACGACTGAGATCTGAACAGCCCAGAGCTCTCGGTGTTACTCCATGATGGGCCTACAGGCGAGCAACTTTGCCTCAGCCTCAAGAGACCCACGCCCTCACTACAAACCCTTCTACCTTCTAGAAGTGAGCCAAGCTCTCCCCACTGGCCATCTGGTAACAAGACTCTTAAAACAAGCAAAGATGAAAAAGTTCAAAACAGCTAAAATGACCAAAGAGTAATGGGTCATGAAGTATATATCCACAGGCTGCAACAGCAAGCAGCCATTAACAAGAATTTTTATTGGATTTGAGGAAATGTTTACAATCTGAAGTTAGGGTGGGGAGGATGTAGCATTCAACACATACAACACAAGACCATGTGGAATAGTGTGCAGACGCACTATGTGAAATAGAACACTGCAACATACTTGAAAAGGTTACTTGGGGGCGGGATTATGACTTTCCTATATTTTTACCTATAATTTTTTGTTTGTTTTTCTGAGATAAGGTCTTGTTATGCAGTTGAGGCTGGCCTAGAACTCACTATGTACTTCCAGGCTGGCCTCAAACCCACAGGGATCCCCCTACCTCAGCCTCCCAAGTGCTGAGACTACAGGCATGTGCCACCATGCCCTGCGACATATTTCAGTTTACAATGATCTTTAAAAAATGTTACCAGTAGTTCTTAAGCACCAAAAAATAACATTTGAAGTATGATAACAACAATCCTGGCTGGGCATGGTGGCACATGCCTGTAATCCCAGCCCTTGGAAGGTTGAGGCAGGAGTGCTGTAAAATTGAGGCCAGCCTGCACTACATACTCAGGTGAAGTCCAGCCTTAACTACAAAGTGAGACCTTGTCTCAAAAAAAAAAAAAACAAAAAAAAAACCTTCATATTTGCATAGACTTTTCAGATTTAGATATACACTTATTTGACATGTCTAATTCCATCCTCAAGATCCAAAAAAGTAATATTATCCCCATGTTACAGCTGAGTCAACTAAGGCATGGAAAAATGAGTGCATTACCTGGGTCCCAGATCCAACACTGTGAGTCAAGTGTGCACCAGGCCACCTCTGGCCATGGCACCATCCAGTCTCTATCCTATCCTGCCCATCTTCCATACACAAGAGAACCAACCAAAAACAACAACCAACACTTTGTCAGGCCCAACCAACCAAGCAGAAGAGCCTGAATGACGTCCACACAAGAGCACATCTCAGCAAGACCTCTTTTTGTTACTGTTTTTGAGACAAGGTCTTATTATGTATTCCAGGTTGACCTCGAATTCACAGATCTTCCTGCCTCAGTCTCCCTCCAGTGCTAGGATTACCGGCATGTGCCACCACACTCAGTCCATAACTGTCATCCTAGACATTCTCACCCCTCAACCTCGGCCCTCATGAAATGGATCCATCTGCCATGACAGCAGAATACAAGGCCTGTGTCTCTAAAAGCTACATAACCGGGCTGGGATTTAGCTCAGTGGTATAAGCGCCTTCCTGGCAAGCACAAGGTCGTGAGTTCAATCCCCGGTACCGCAAAAAAAAAAAAGCTATGTAACCATGCAAAGGAAGCAGTCGCCCTCCCGCACCCTGTCCACTCCTCTCACCGTGCCCACAGAGAGAGAGGAGACATGCAGAGATTCCACAGGGCGCTGTCCTCTCTAACGCCCTGATGCCAGGGAGGGTCCTCTATAAACACCCCACCCCACCCACTTCCAGGCCCTGCCTGGTGGCCGCGAAAAATACTTCACATCCACGACATGGTTGTACCCAGTGGTTTTGCTCAGAGTAAGACAGAGCTACTATTTCTTGCCGGAAAGTCTTAGGGGCACTCCCACGTTTTCCCTCCTTCCTGAAAGAACTGAAATGCCACCCTGAGTTCCTAGCCTTCCCTTGTCTCTACTAGATCCAACCCTGCATCGGAGTAACTTGGGGCCCCAGCCACACTCCCCAGACCCTTCCTTCCTGCGGGAAGGAGGTTCAGGTCTTTCAGAGGCGCTGTCACTGTTATACACATCCATGTCCACGCTATCCCATTCGTGTCCCAGTTCTATGCCCTCTCTCTCTCCCAGCGTCCTCTCTTGATACACACCAAGAGAATAAGGTCGGGGCCAGGGGACCCATTTACCACCAGGATAGCGAGGCACCCCAGGCGCCTTCCCATCTCCCAGCCTTTCCGGCCTCGCGGAGCAGCCAGTCTGGCGCCACCCTCCCGACACCCAGTTTGGCTACCTGGAAATCCAGGGAAGTCTCGTAGGCCCAGAGCAAGAGACCTGGCCCTGCTAAAGAAACGAAGGGAAGAAAAACAACCCGGGCAAAGCGCCGGATAGCCCGCATTCCCGGTGTCCCCCAACACCCACGAAGACCTAGGGCAGCAGGACTGGCCCTCCCTGGGACACAGGGGCTGGAGGCTAGCGCCTGCTTAAGATGCGGCGAGGACGGGGGCGCCCCTGCCCTCTCCCATAGGTCGAGGCAGCACAGCCAAGTCCCGGTCGAAGGGAGAGACTCAGAGGGACCTCGGCGTGTGCTCGGGAGGGGCCAGCGCTGGGTAACTGGAAAGGCCCCAGGGCCACCTGAAGGAGGGCGACAGGCATCCAGGCGTCCCCAAGCAAGTGGCCCAGCCACAGATTCTGCAGTTGACCCGTCCCCACCGGTGGGGGAGTCTCCCCTCCTTCAAGATCCTCTCCAAATTGAAGTCCCCACCTTTCCTTGGTTGGCTACCAGAAGCTGGGGTCCCTCCAAACCAAGTCCACGGCAGAAAGCACGGTAGCCACTGCGCCCCTCGACGGCTCGGCCCCGCCGCACCGGCTACGCTCAGGTGGGCACTGCGACTCGCGCGCCCGGCCTCGCACAGCCCTTACCTGCCGGGCCCAGGTGAGCGGAGCTCACGTCAGCGCCGCGCCCCAGGACGCCGCAGCCCCTCCGATGCCCGGCCACGCCCTCCAGTGTGGCCACGCCCCACGGCGTTCGGGATTGGCAGGTTGCGAGAAATAGGATACTTCGCGTTCCAGGGCCACCCAGCCCCGCCCGCCTCCTCCCCACCCCACTCCCCCGCTTCTACCCTGCCAAGAAAAGTCCCAGACTGGGCCTCACCCTTCTGCCTCAGGGCTGGTGGTCCTGGGAACTGGAAGCGACTGGGAGGTCAAATCTAATTTGAGAGGGTGCCTTCCCACCTTCACTCCCCGTAATTACCCTGAGGTATGGAGACAGTTAATCACAAATAGGGGTTTGAAGTTCCGAGGTGGCCCGACTGAGCTTGACTATAGGGAGGACTATAGGGAGGCCCAGGTTCTGTCCCTGTGACTCCCAGAATTGGAATTCTGCCTTTGCTTTGCCTCTTATCATGGGGACCCTGGGTGACCCGCAGTGTTCTCTTCTGGGTTTCGGTTTTCTCATCTACTCGGTGAAAACAATACTTCTTGCCTTTTTTTTTTTTTTTTTTTTTTTTTTTTTGTATTTTTACCGGTACACTGTCCGGTAATGACTGAGAGCGTTTCCTCTGGAACCAGCGATCAGGTTCAATCCCCAACTCTGATAGGCACAGCAGCTCTCCTGCAGAATGAGATTACCTGGTGGGAACTGAATACATCACTACAGGTGAAGTGCTTGGAACACTTACCAAGTGCTATCCAAATACTGGCAGTATTATTCTATAAGGGATTTCTTAAAAAGTACTCCACAGATAGTTCCCCCACATAATGAGACGGCAGCCTTTGTTATTACATGAAATCGACATGTAGTGTTACATGAATCCATTTTACATGAACATGCTTGGTGAGTCGTCCCTCTTTTCCGCTACGAAGGACACGTGTGTCCTGGGAACCGTGTGCCAATATATGCATACATCCCCCACCCTCAGACCCTCAAGGGAGATGGGGCCTGGTGTGGATTGACTTGTG